TAGGACGCCTCCACCTGTGGTCTGTGGAAAAAGCTGGAAAATCATCCAATTAAAGGTAGTCCAGCTGAGCAGTAAACAGTTTTGTAGCCGCCATCTTTAATTGAAAAGTCTTAACGCTATCAGTCATACTGAGACTGAGACTATAAAGACTATAATATATGTATATTTAGAGAGGGCTAACGCAACATGTGATTTATTACAGGATATGAACTGAAGAACTACAGTCACTATATTTTGTCTACTTTGACATCTGCTCTTCAGTGACTATGGCCGTGCAAAAGTTTCCCAATATTAAAATCCACTCGTATACCGCAAGCCAAATCCTCGGCCCACTGTATAATTGTATATGTTTGGGCCTGTTTTCCATACTTCGCAATTGTCGTATTGTGTCGTAAATGATTTCTCGTAATTCATTGTGATTCGGTTTGCATATTCGTACGAAATGCGACGAATTACGACATATGAATTACGATGAATTACGATGAATTACGAGATATGAAAAACACCAGCCTTTATAAAAAAAAAACTCATATCAGCAGATTAACGGCGTGCAAATACTGCTGACGATTTTATGTGATAATTTATTGGTGGACATACCCTACCTGTCAATTTGAAGGTGATAAACTGTAAGGGGCTGTTCAAATGATCGTGCTTAGCAGAAGATTAAGGGAAACGGTAGTGTGCAGCGATTTTCAGGCATTAAAAATTAAGTAAATATTATATTCCTGTTAGTTCTGTTGTATAATTTTCCCGACAATATATACAAGGATTTGTTTGGTCTCCCAAGGACATATTTTAACGCCACAAAAATCATTGTTCATACGCTTCGTTTAATCTCGAGTAAGTAGGAACATGTAAACAAGCCTCGATATCATACCAAATATTTCTTAACCCTTCGTGGAAACATTGTGTAGTGTTACGAGCGGCATTTCATTTTTTATGGTTATTTATGGACTTATTTCGCGCATCGAATCGTTTCTCGTTCATGAAACGAAGCTAATGATTTAATCAGCTCAGTTGTGGGCCTGCAGTTAAAAAAAAATAAAGGATATATTGTTTGAGATAGCGTAAACATTGTGCTTTTGCATATTTTAAAGAGGGGATAAAGGGAGCCGCCACAGCAGGGGCTGGTCTATGCGTCATAAACTTGTTACTGGACTGTCACTGACGTCATTGTACACCAATTCCAATCAATTTTCATACTGACTTTGTACATCAACACGCCAAGTGTTTCTAGTAAAACGAATTGTTTACTCTTGCCTCCATAGTTTTGATCATATCACTAATTCCATGCATATTTTATTGTATTTTTCACAATATCTCAATCCAAAACCTGGTTTACTTTATCGCAATTCATCGAGCGATGTTTATCTACGGTCGGTATAAGAAATGCCTTGTCTGAAATGAGAATGAGACACTCTTTGTTGCATGATCGAGCGCAAATATTGGTTTGCCGTGCAGACTGATATAGAGGGGAATAGACTCTTGGGGGACATTTTTCGTCTTCAATTCGTTGCTTGCTCGTTAGTAACTTTGTAAACATCCAATAATTTACTCCATTCAGACGAATATGATGGTATCTGAAATTAAATCTAAATTACAAAATCCTCCTTACAACAGTTAATATTACACACAGACATATATTTTTCGAGAGAGAAATGAAAGTTTATGTAGATGTTTGTTATTTTTGTTAACGGAATGCTTGGACGAAATGAACGGGTTTTTCCGTCTTCTTTATTAGTGAATACTGAAGTATTATATTTGCTAGTCTTTTGGATGTAACTTTCTCCAGGAACTGTTGGGTAGAGCGACTCTCCACATCGTACAGTAATTTCATTTAATTGGTGTATATCCAGCGTGTATCCGAACAAACTAGAAGATTTTAAAATGTTCAAAAACCTATCGTTTTATCAGTCAAATATATCAAAAATATTTACGTCAAAGTATTTTAGCATCTTCTGGCTCAGTCTAAAAGTAAATTAACTAGCAGAAAACTGATTAACCTCGAAAATTTCCCCTGTGTCTGTGACAATTTTCAAGCAAAGATCGACGTTTATACCTTTAATAGTTTGACGGAGATTTCGCTGGAGTCAATGTGCTCATTAATCTTCATTATGTTCAGGGCTGAAACTGGAAAGATAATTGGAGTGGGTGAGTGCAATAGTTTACAAAAGAAATCCGTTGGGAAGATGTTGCGTTTGGCGTTTTACAAAACGTTTGCTGTTTGCTTTGGAAAATTTGTTTACTTTTTTCCGTAATGGACCGGCGGTCCATCGCTACATCGCTAAAAATATTCCTAAGCCAATCAAAGCGCGCTATTTCATCGGAAGTGACGCTTGCCATATAATAAATAAATAAACACAGCCAATCCCAACTACCACCCCCCCCCCTTTTTTTAGTTTAAGTTCTGTGTGATTGAGCGTTTTGAAACGATTTTAATGGCCTCCTTATTAGGTTATAAGCCCTGAGAAAATGTGAAAAAATTGATAGCGTGCAAGTTGTTTACAAAGTATATATTGAAACACCAGATTATACATTTTATCAACTTTGTACAAACAGTGAAAAAATGGCTGTTTGTCATATGATGTTTTTTAGAATCCTGCTTGTAAGTTGTTTATGAAGTCGTCAGGTAATGCTTTGAAATTCCTTATGAAATTGTTCACATTACATGACAAGCCAAGGTCAGAATATAAAGTTGTTATAAACCCTTTCGCCGAGTCTTCCAAATAATTACTAAATAAAATTCATCCTTCTTAATGAAGATTATCTGTCTTACTGTCAACACGAGAATACATGAAGCTATAAGCTGAAATTTTTACTCCCTGATGCGAGCTCAGCGCTGTCACAATGATATCCAGTGTACGAGTAATGTTTACAGGTCCCGCAGTCACCCGAGGCCGAGCTTTAAACGAAGCGTAAAATAGTTTTGAGGCATTGAAATAAGTTTTCGTGATATCAGATAAGCACATGCTGTGTTTGTTGGATTGACTAAATCACTTTCAGGATTACGTTTTTGCTTATTTCAATACAGTTAGAGTCGTGTCGCGATTCGTTTAATTCCCCTGTGTATAAAGTGCGATATTTGGACAGGCAGCGACGTAATACTTCAAACATGCACTCGTTAAATAACATTTTAGGCGATATAACATTTAGCAAAATTAGTAATGACAGTTCTGTAAAGGATGTTTAGCAAGGTTTTAATAAAACCATATTCTGTATACAAGAATTAATGATTATTTTTATTTTATAGAATGAAAACAACAATGAAATTATATAACATGAAATTTACCTTAACCGCAGAGTATTATGGAGAGTTGAAGCCCCCGATAAATCTCAGACGGAAGGGCAGGGGCCGGTTGTATCAAGCCCGTTTAGCTTAAACGGTGGATAAGTTCAAAATAGAAATCAAGTCTATCGTTTTATTCAACAAGCGAACAAAATGTTTTTAACCTTAATACAACGATACTGTTTACAACTACATATTCAGTGCATAATATTCAAGTTGACTCATTCAAGAGAGTTGTAAGAGTGTTATTTAATTTTGACTTATCCGCCGTTTAAGTTAAACGGGAATCATACAACCAGTCCCAGAACAAGACCTAGAGACTTTAGTAAGCTAATTATTGATATAGAATTAACTCTACCCTTGGTCAGGGTTGAATTAACCTTAGCTATCAAATTGAGCCCAACTGTGCTATCCCGGTAAAAAACAAGCAAATCGCGGCTCCTTTCCTTGTTCCGTTCTCGTTCTCATTAGATTGTTTCAACCACATTTTTTTGTTCAATTCGTTGCTACGGTCACGCACATGTGGTTAGGTTCGGGCGACGGTACTTAATAGAAATGAATTCTGCATCTACCAATCAAAATCAATTCTGCATCTTGCGGTATTCTAAGCAGGTATTTGCTATTGCTATTGCGACTCTAGCAGAGAGACTGCTATATATGCGCCTGCTACCTTTTATGTGTATATAGGAACGTTTGCAGTGGTTCAATACGATAAGAGTTGTCATGTACGTGTTTTCGGTAAGTGAAAGCTTATGTTATAAGGATGTAATATAATATGTTGTGGGCGCATGTGCCTTTAATAAAAGAAGAAACTGGTTAATGTAACCCGTTTAATGTGAAGAATTTCCCTTGAAATAAAAAAAGGACATAGCTACGACATACATTCGTATGTTTTTATTCAATGCAAAAAAATTATCATTAATTTCAAGTTGTGTTGTATCAGCCGGATACGTGTAGGCACATAACTGACATAAGTCAGTATGAAGGCCAAAGATTTAAGCGGTTGTTTTCGCGGTGCTTGTGAAGGAATTTCAGCGGGAAGATATATTTAGCCTCAATTAGCAATTTAGCCTCTCCAGATCGATAGCAGAGTTTATTGGGTTTGTTTGTTTGCTACAGAGCATTTCCAGTTATTGAGCGATGCTTGGCTTAATTAAATTCAATGCTGGTGACGACAATAGAATTGAAAACGGTGAAACAGCGTTTTGCACCGGCACCTTTGTCTGTTTTTGTTTATAATTTGAGTTTCAAATCTTAAATAATTAATCGCTAATAATATATTGCCATGAGATGATATACGTAATGGAATATGGCAACTCATGCAATGGGAATGAGATTACCCAATGGTAGAGCAATTAATTAACTTATGATTTAGCTAACAAGAAGGAAATAAATCACCACAAAAAAGAGTATATACTGAAATTAGTATCATTGCCAGGCTTGGATACAAACTTTGCAAATGTTATGAACTCCAAAAGCCTTTCACGAAGCAGCATAATTATAACTATTAACATAATATTATCATGCTAAATAGATCTGAACTTTCAAACTAAGCATTTGCATGGTGTGACATTACAACATGGTACCAACTAAAAGCCGTTGAGGCAAACATGATAAAATCAAGTCTTGTATATGAAACAACGAGCAATTGAAAGTGATTGAAAAAAGTTATAATGGAAAGCGTTACCCACCTATCGTGAAACTGGGCCCTGAACACGTCGAATTTTTGATTACGTTTTTCGCTTAGGTAGATTTTTACGCGAGAATATTAACACAGTTATTTTACAATTTAATCTTTTAGATTCTGCTTTTCTTCTCCGTATTGGAAATTTTAAAAGGTACGCAATGTTGATTTTACAATCTGTTTTCCCAATAAGCGGAAAGTGCTGCCTACCAACTTTTCAAGATCCCCCTAATTGCAATTCAATTTTTTATTAGCTTGCAAATCAGTCCCTGCTGGAATGGAAAGCACGGCGATTCGTGATTCTGAGATCAGTGCTTCTTCCAACTACGATGTCTACCATCGTGACATTTACGCCCGATTGAATCACATGACAGGCTATTGGACTCCAGCCATCGCTGATTCCAATCCATGGCTGCAAATCGACTTTAAATCGACGACAACTGTGGACTCTATCAGTACACAAGGAGCGAAAACCTTCACTGTTAGCTATGGAGACGATGGCGTAGCATTTACAGTCTTTACAGATTTTACCGATCTTGACAAGGTGTGTGTAGTCAATACCTAGAAAGGGAAGGGGAGGGGGTACAGCCCGAAGTAAAAATGGTGGGTAACTGAAAAGAACAGCAAGATATGGGGTAGGGTGGAAAAAACGAGAAAGTGAAAGGTGAGGTAAAAAAATTACCAATAAAACTTTTTCATCGTACAAATCTAAAATCAAAATAAACATCTAGTTTAGGTATAGTCAATGGTATGACTTTGTTTAACCCCCGTAAGCAGAGTAATTTACGACCTGTCCTGAGATGCATTTTACTGGGGGAATTTTTATCAATGTCTTACTCACGCACTTTTCGTACACTGCGTGTGTTTAGATCTTTCCTGGAGACTATGATTTGCAAACTACGAAGAAATATTCGTTTTTTCCGCTTATCGAGGCACGATACGTTCGCGTCAATCCGCAAAAAACCGTATATCACATTGGTCTACGAGTGGAATTCCATATATGCGCTCAAGGTAAGACAGTTAAAACATTAGAATTGATTTAATTGATTACGGGCGTGACGAACGAGGCTTCGAGGGGAGGGGGTTAGGAGGGGAGGTTAGGAGGGGGGTTAGGAGGGGGGGTTGGGGGTATGTGATGTTGACCAACTTTTCAAGCCCCGTTTTTTACTATTGAACGGTTTTCGGTCGCAGCACGGTAGCTTTGAAGGCCAAAGCAATACCCAGGTTGGATTTCATTCGCATGCAGAATGGCGTTTCAACGTTCCTGTGCATGTAACGATGACTGCGACAATAAAAGACGAGTACTCCCGAATCTGTCTAAAAAGTATTTCTCTTACAGATTGTTTTCCTACCAACCCATGTCAGAACACCGGAAACTGCGTCAGTTCAGAGCTGGGTCTTTATAATTGTGTTTGTCCTGCACTAACTAAAGGCACTCGTTGTGAAAGTGAGTTCTTCATTTATCAATAAGTTTTCCTGGTCGCGAACAACTGGCTTTCGTGTGATTACCACTTAAAGGAAATTGGACTATTTTCGTGAAGATATATAAATGTATTTGCAATAAACAGGAGACTCTTGCCTTTTTATAGCTTGCTCTAGTTCAATTCCTCTTGGAATGGAAAGCGGCGATATTCTGGACGCCCAAATCACAAGCTCGCCGACGGGTTCGCGTTACGGTCTCTACAACGCAAAATTCGCGAGGTTGAACCAAACAGCTATACCTCATGTTACACTGGGTGGTTGGAGTCCAACACCCTTCTCAAATTCCTATCTGGAGATTGATTTCACGGCAAGTTCCCTAAATTTTTCGTTACGATTTCGATTTGGGTGCGGTGGGTCGGAAGCAGTTTTCTCGACCTGGGGGTAATTAATATCCTCCTCATGCAGACCCCCCCCCCTGTACGCTAATGGTCAAAATGCGAAAGCTCACTTAATTTCTGTTTGTTAACAGATGAAAACAACGTTGACATACTTGTTGACGCAAGGCAAGGAAGCCACGATCGGCGTAACGGTGACCAAATTCAAAATGACCTACACAGCATCGTCTAGCCGCACTTACTTTTCGTACATATCAACTTCGTCTGGTCAGGTATAAAGCATTTTATGCACTGTCTATACAAACATAAGCGAGCTCAGATAATCACATGCTAGAGCAAAAAAAAAAGGTCCAGCTTGAAATGAAAAGACTTATTTCAATCAAATACGATTGAAGCAACGTTTTTGGTCTCATTTGCACTGAAATTCAAACTCGTATAAAATTATATGAGAAGAAAATGAAACGGACGATTCCGCTTAATTCAAAAGTGGGTACGCAAGGCGGTCTTTTTCACACTCTATAAGACTAAACAATTACTTGATGGTTTCCGTGTTTGGATGGCCTGATCCGAGAGTTAAGAAAAGCGCGCGAAACACGAGCCGAAGTCGAGTGATTTTGCTCCAGCAACATTTCCGCGTGTTTGGATCAGGCCATCAAAACACGGGAAACCATTAAAACGTCTATGTTTGCATGGCCTGATCCAAACACCGGCTTCGACCAATCAAAACACACGTTATTATACATCTTATTTTATAATTTGTAATATTTGCTAACTTTGAAGGTTTACTGGTTTGCTAACTTTGAAGCTGTAATAATGAAATTTCCTAGTTTTAGATTAGTTTAAAGGGAGAATGGTCCATTTACTTTTAGATTTTCATTTGATTAACCGTGTTTTGTTAGTTGCAAATTCCTTTTTTTTTTCATTCGTTTCATATATCGGTTAATATATTTTCAGCAGTTAAGAACTTCCGTTCACGAAACGGAAAATTACCTCGACCGCTGCGTATATTCGCGAGCAGGATACTTTTCTTTACAACTGAAATCCATACGTTTGATTCCCCATGCTCTGTCGCCATTTTGACAATCAGTGACATTCACGTTAAGTCACTCAACGATTTTTTGAATAGTTTTTTTATATGGATGCGAACAACAAGAACATTACTCGCAACGATTTTCAGCCCATGGTCATAGCACGTTATGTGAGATTCTATCCACTCGAGTACAACATTCAACCAGTTGTGAGGATGGAGTTCTACGGATGTATGGGGGGTATGTGTAGATTATTCTGCTATGGTTTCTCTTTATAGATGTATTCCTAAATGACTGTTTCGCTGAAGCTTGCCCGTCGACGAAATTGCAGCTACCCACATGAACTCTAAGCGTACCTATTTGTTCTCTTTGTAGTTCATCACTGTTTGAGTTATCCATGTCTGAATAACGGAACATGTAGTCAATTATCCAACGGCTACAATTGTATTTGTGTTGATGGTTTTATTGGGTCGCGATGTCAAAGTAAGCTTTGACTTCCTTTATTGTAATGGACCCTTCTACTCGTAATGACGTCAAGTCTGAAAAACACGCAGTTTGGTTGTCAGCCATGAAGTTGTTACAATGAAGTTACTCCAACAAATATGCTGAAGTGCCGCGGACGATAAAATCACAACAATACTGAATAAATAGAAAACGCGTATCATCAGTTTGAGCCTTCTGCCGCTAGACTTGATGTGGTCTGTAGAATATTTATCATCCCTTCAACTGACCACGTTTAATTTATATGACAAAAATACTTCTCGCCCAGTAACCTATCAGTTTAATTTTAAGCAATACTAATAATTATGATGTGTTTTTTATAGCTCCAGCCCCAACCACGTCTCCTCCTAGTAAGTAGTTCTAAAATTTTTAAAGGTTCTGGAATTTCTGACCGTTCTGGAAATTCTGAAGGTTCTCCGATTTCTGACGGTTCTGGAATAGTTAATAGTCCCAGAAATTTTTTCATTTTTTTAAAAAACATCCGTAGTTCTTCCTACTTCCTCACAGACCATCTCATCCCCATAACCCCATTGAATACAACAACTTCTTTATCAATTCCTCGTTTACTTAAACCAACTCATGGAAATTTGTTCATACCCATTTGTTCTCTTTATAGTCAATTACTGCCTGAGTGATCCATGTCTAAATAACGGAACATGTAAACAATTATCCAACGGCTACGATTGTAATTGTGTTAATGGTTTTACTGGGTCGCGATGCCAAAGTAAGTTTTATTGTAGTGGACCCTTCTCTTAATAACGTCAAGTCTGATAATAAACGCAGTTTGATTGTCAGCCATGAAGTTGTTACAATGAAGTTACTCCAACAAATATGCTGAAGTGCCGCGGACGATAAAATCATAACAATACTGAATAAATAGGAAACGCGTATTATCAGTTTGAGCCTTCTGCCTCTAGACTGCATGTGGTCTGTAGAATATTTATCATCCCTTCAACTGACTACGTTTCATTCATATGACAACAATACTTCTCGCCCAGGAGCCTATCAGTTCAATTTTGAGCAATACTTACCTAATAATGCTTTTTCACAGTTCCAGTTCCAGTCCCAACCGCTTCTCCTTCTATTAACTCGGACTCTGGTAGTTCCGAAATTGCCGAAGGTTCTGGAATGCTTGACGAAATAGTTCCTGCCCCCCCTGAGATCATCCCAGTTCTTCCAACTGCCGTATCAACGCCTCGTCTGCTTAAAACAACTCATGGATATTTAGGAATTACTACAAGTCCTTCGCCTACTCATCAAGCAACTCGAGCAGTTTTGCAATCAAGTTCAATTCCGACTAACTTGGTATCGATCACGCCAGGCTATGTTTCAATCGCAGGTTTCGCACTAAATCCTTTATCACCTCAGGAATTTGGGAAGAGTTTCACTGTCGTGTGGAACATGACCGCTGGCACAAATGTCACAATCGCTGTATCATACAACGGTATCCCATGCTGCAATGCAGGCCCACTTACCAACGTTAGTGGACAATGTGATTGCCTAATGTCTGATCCAGGCCACTTTGACTCTGATGGGGTTGTTAATATTAGCGCCGTGGCCTCAAATTTACTGTCTAGTTCACCCTCATCAATCGAAGTGGAGGTGTTGAAAATCATTACCCAAGCGGGCTTTACAGCGTTAGCAAGTTACTCGGACTTCGGGGTCAACATCGAGGGTCGTGGGAGCCAGGGAAATATCTTCCCAGCTGAACATCCCGTGAAATTCAATTGCTCGTATGCAGGTAATATGTTGCTGTAAACATTGTGTACCCCTGTTTAACATGCTGCCCTGTATCACTCGCTAGGAGTGAAATCGATTAACAGACCGTCTCTTCTTATAATGCGTTGAAACTGAATTTCAGATGTTTAAGGCGGCGTTACACTGTGCAACTTTCCTTGCAACTTGCAATGCAATTCTACTCCTGAGGCATCTAAAGTTGTCAAATACAAACATTTCTTACGATCTGCTAACGTTTTCTTAGCATTTTGAACACTCTTACAAATTAGCATCCCTCAAAATTATAATTGCATTAAAGTTGCAAGGAAAATTGCATAGTGTAACATGGGCAAATGCACTTTATAGCTTCGTATCAGGTTTTCTTGGTATCAGTTTTAACTTTTGCAAATTTCATCGTTTCATTTAACAATAGGAGGTCCAGCTACAGCTGTGACTTGGACGATTAATTGTGATACAGATGGCATGATCATGGAGTCCCAGTGTGTTTTCGACAAGATCTTTCCAAACAAGACCAGTCAGACCTGTCAGATTACCCTGCGGCTGGAAAATAACGTCAATTCAACGTTTGCACATGGTTGAATTGAACTTATGGAAAGCGTCGTTTTGTCAAGTCTAACAAGCGACGGTCCTGTGAAAGAAAACCAAACAATCACATTCACAATTTCACTGGAAAAACTCGGCACCCGGACCTGTATTTGGGTTGATTTAGGAGACAATAGTTCCCTTGTGGTGTTTGGTAACACCTCGTGTACCACAAAGTTTGATATAACTGCGATTAACCCAAATATCTTGACTCAACCTCGCTTCAAGTTTCTCCCGAATTACACTTCGAATACCCAGGAGATTGTCTTCCAGCATGTCTATCCTGATATTGGCTCTTATGACGTCAGAATGAACGCGTCAAACGAGGTTTCCATGGTAACAAAAGACATAGTTGCCGTTGTCTTGCCTATCGTTTGCCATAATCCAAACGTGACAATAAAAGGTAATTCATATTCTTCCGTAATTCACCCGAGTTGTGTGGTATATTATCTCAAAAGTACAGATTCATGGTTTTCACATTTTAGGAATTACAAGCTTATACATGTTCCACGAATGTTCCTGGACGCAGGGAGGAAAAAGCGCTCCACCCCCTCCTTAACCGCTCCCTCCTTGTAAAAGATTCCCCCTGTGAATGCCCCCTTGGAGTGTAAATATTAGCAAAATAGCCAAGTTTAGAAACTTTTTTGGCTTAATAAGAGCATAGCGAAAGTCTATGCTATCATCTCATGTTTCTTTTCATTTTCTTTACCATTTGTTCCTTTGCATTTTTCATCCACATTTCTAATGTTTAGGTTTACCTCCAAATACATCCAACGCCTTGAATGCGGCTCAAGTATACCGCTCAGTCGTCATTGCTTTGTCAACCCAGAACGACATTGATTGCGAGACCACGGAACAGACAAAGACAATGTGGACTGTGCTTAAATTTGACGATGATCCTCGCGAACTAACAACACTACCTATTTACAGTTTCTCCAAGTCACCTTATCACTCCAGTATCTTAGGCCCCGATCTTTTACTGCCCGGGAATGATTTACCCTACGGTTTCTATGAGATCAGTGCCCGGGTCGAGATGCGTGGCTTGCCTGATGTTTTCGGAAGCGACACATTTTACATCCAAGTAGTTCAAACTCCCTGGCTTGAAGCTGCTGTGGTTGGTGGGTCCTTCTATACCGCACCTTTTGGCTTAACTGTAAGTTGATATGCGATAACCTTTCGACTCCTAAAAGTTAAAGCGTTTCTGATACTTGATTCTCATCCCAATTTCCAGGGCATCTTGAACTCTTCCGCATCTTCGGATCCAGATTTTACTGGTACAGACGGCATGAATTTCGCATGGTATTGCAGGGATGTCGAAGATAAAGAGTTTGTTCAAAGCAATCTGACAAGTGAACCGCTTGTCTCTAACGACGATAATATCGTTCTTCCCATTACTTCGGTAGGGACGACAAGAATACCGTTATTGAACTATCGATTGTGATTAACATAACTGATCTAAACTTGCCAGTTAACCATGGCCAGTCACTTTATATCACAGATGCGCGTTTATTTTCAGCCACTGTTCGACGTTCAGCGATACTGTGTTGAAGATGAACTCTTCACATCATATACAATGTTGTTCTTTTCTAGTTTCGTGGCTGTTTTGGGTCAGGTCGGGGTCGTATAGATACCTCAAATTCTACACTTGTACTGGACACGAGTAACATGATGGAAATGAAAACGTAAGTCGAGTGTTACTGTAGCCTGCTCGAAAAATTAATTTTGAAGTGAAGTCAAAGAACTGATTGTTCACATTTTGAACTTCTGTTATTTTTGAAATACGTCGTCCTGTCTGAATATCATAAAACATTTAGGTTTGCTATGTCTTTAAATGAGTACGAACTTGTGTTTTTGATGAGAAAAATCTGAAACATACGAAATTTAGGGAAAATTTTTATCTCACGACCTCGCATTGTTATGATCAGAACTGATGCGCAGACTTAACATCCGCTTCAATCTTCGGTTAGTGCAACCTTTTTATTTCAGTTACGAAATTCTGCTCGTTGTATCAAAGACTCATCCAGAGTTTGGTCTCCGTCAGGCGAAGACAACGATCTTCTTTTACGTCACAACTGGTCTTCCCCCAACGCTAACGCTGGGGTAATGTCGCATCGAGTAGTACATTTAGGCTAGATTTACTTCATAACCACTTCATTCCCTTCATACCAACTTCAATCACTTCATACCCACTTCATTCACTTCACTTCACTCACTTCATTCACTTCACTCACCTGATTCACTTTATTCACTTCATTCACTTCACTCACTTCATTCACTTCATTCACTTCATTCACTTCATTCACTTCATTCACTTCACTCACTTCATTCATTCACTTCATTCTCTTCATTCACTTCATTCACTTCATTCACTTCATTCACTTCATTCACTTCATTCACTCATTCACTTCATTCACTTCATTCACTTCATTCACTTCATTCACTTCATTCACTTCATTCACTTCATTCACTTCATTCACTTCACTCACTTCATTCACTTCATTCACTTCATTCACTTCATTCACTTCATTCACTTCATTCACTTCACTCACTTCATTCATTCACTTCATTCACTTCATTCACTTCATTCACTTCATTCACTTCATTCACTTCATTCACTTCATTCACTTCATTCACTTCATTCACTTCATTCACTTCATTCACTTCATTCACTTCATTCACTTCATTCACTTCATTCACTTCATTCACTTCATTCACTTCATTCACTTCACTCACTTCATTCACTTCATTCACTTCATTCACTTCATTCACTTCACTCACTTCATTCACTTCATTCACTTCATTCACTTCTTTCACTTCATTCACTTCTTTCACTTCTTTCACTTCATTAACTTGATTCACTTCATTATTAACAAGTGATTTTACAATTTTGCAGGTGCTCCAAGAACTGTCAATCAAAAATCACTGCTGAGGGTAAGACCATCATGCGAGCCGACTGTTCGTCGTTTTGTCAAGGGGAGTTAATGTTCAATTGGACTTTGCATTTATACGATGACATTCACGACCCTGAACCGCTCAATCTGTCAGCGTTGCATGAGATTTCATCGAAGGAATTTCAGAATATGGTAAGGAACCCAATCAACGAGCTGGATCTGTCGATTAAACCTGACGCGCTGCAACCTGGCAAAAAATATACGCTGGCATTTCGAGCGACGCGTCCGAGTGGAATATTTGGGGAAGTGAGGACTACCCTTCTTGTGAATGGACCACCGCTTGGTGGTAAGTAACTCGTATTATTTTTTTTCTTGCGGTCCGAATTCATATTTTAGCATTTCCTGTAATCTGATTAGCGTACGGACCGCTCGTACGGACCGCGCAGATTTAGAAGCACGCACGCATGGGGGACGGGTAATAAAAAAAAATAAATCTATTATTTACCAGTTTAGTCGGTCCGTATAGGGAAAAATTTCCCTATACGGACCTCCAATCTGGTAAATAACATATATTTATGATGACATTTTGAGCACAGACGATCAATTTTAATGTCTGTTCAAATGATCCAGTTTTGTCTAATAGATGTTTTAATTATGGTTTGTTGACTTGCAATGTATGTGGGCAGCAAATCAACTGCAGCAATGCAATACTGTGAATGCAATAGCAAGTCAATGCAATACTATGACAAACTACATTCCATATGTCAAAAGTTGATCAGCTCTGTCAAAATTGGTTTATGTGAATACACCCCCTTTAGGGACCAATTGCTCAAACATATCATTCACACTACTTGACTTTATTCAATCCAGGCACGTGTTCTGTTACTCCTTCCTTCGGAATATCACTCTCGACAAATTTCACTTTCGCTTGTGAGGGATGGTCCGACCACGAATCACCGCTGACCTACAAGTTCTTCTACGGAAGCAACCAGAGCAAGACACTGTTCTATTATCGTACAATTGCATCTGGTGTGAGCATCAGCCACGCTGATAGGCTACCAGCTGGGGAGGAAAGTAACAATTACACCTTAAGTGTCTCCGTGGAAATTACGGATGCGATAGGGTCAAGTTCATTTGAGGAGTTTCTTTTACGGGTAAGCTGGTACTTTGACGTTTTTGAATGACTTTGAAATTTGTGTTTTCCCAAGTGGATAAAAGTTGCTTTTGCTACTGAGGATTTTGTTCCCGCATGATTCAGGAATATTCCCGCAAGATTCAGCTATTTTTATATAGTTATTTTCAGTATTTTTACCAACATAAAGTTATATTTTGAAATAATTTTTTTGCTGTTCAGCTCATTAGCGTGCTCTGGAAATTAAACTGATTATATACTGTACTGCACATTATTTAGACCAATTCTATCCGTCTCTTCAAATTTCGTTTGAGGTCGGCATCATGAGTTACATACAGTAGGAAGCTTTAGATGTGGTTTCATTATTCTAAGATCTTTTGAAATTAGAATTTTAAAACGTTTGCAAAGACCATCGCGCTTGTTATACACTTGCTCAGAGGTTTTCAAAAACGCTTAAAAGAAGACAAGGTGGTATTGTTTGTTTATTTTAGAATAACTTTAAGGTCTAAATGGTCAACGCTTTTTTTCTGTACGATTTGCATTGTAGGTCGTTCCAAGCGATAAACTTAGTCTTACCGAAATGGTACTTCTGGTTGCTGAATATGCAAAACTTGGAGAAAATAAAACAGCCATGAGTCTAGCTTGTAGTGTGGGGACTACTTTGAATTCCCTGGGATCGAAAGTTAGCGAAGCCTTAGAAGCAGGACAAACGTCTGACCAGGTACAGTTATTTGTTATTGCCTGACTCCGATCTATAAAGCCTGGTTTCTAGTTATATAGTCGGAATAGTTTACAATAGCAATCCATCGGGCAGAACTGGATATATCAATATTCAGCAACCAACACTCCCCCCCCCCAATTATCGTTTTATAGTTACGCAATTGTGCCGTCAACAATGGCCGATTTAAATGAGAAAATTAAGACACATTAATTTGCATCGTGAAAATGACTTTTTCACGACAATTATGACTATATAACGAAACCAGGTTTGAAAGGTAATCCAGGGCGCTACAAGTCTAGAATATTTTACTGGGGATTTAGTGACGTTTCAGAAACAAACACGCCAGCACAGCTCTTTCAGATTATCTCATTGGTTTTAAATTATAGATACGAGAAGATATGCTGACGATTATTTCTGGAATGAATCCAAAGACTTGTCCGAAACCCAACAAATCAGCGATTCAGTTGTTGCTCTTGTTGGAAATGCAGAACAGTTAACTGAAAAAGCACAGGTATAGGGATAAATGAGGAAGAATGAGGACGCGCACGTATACCACTTGATAACTAATTGAAATGTATTTTCAGGATGCGGCGCTGACCACTATTAAGACTACAGCGGATGAACTGGAGAAGTTAACGCAGAACGATATGATATTCAAAAACGCCAAGCCTGCAATTTCTGACATACTTTGGATCCTGGTGCGTTAAAATTCCCGCTCTGAAAACAAAACTGAGGTATGTGCTGGTACATAAGCGTACGGGGCCTCGGGGCGAACCGGGGACCTGCTCTCTGGTTGTTCAAAAGCCAACTATTTGAAGCGTAGCCGAGCTTTTTTTCAATGGGTGTGTTTTGTTCAGTTGGTTGCTCAATTACATGTCAAGTTTTGACATTTAAAAATTCTTTGTATACTTCGACGAACGTTTCAAAAAAGTCTCCTTTATTCTTTCTGCTTTCACTGGTGGAGGATGCAAGCGTATCTCACCTTCTTTGTAAACGTCTTTTTTCTAGGGTTACGTCAAGCGCATTTTTAATTTAGTCGAGAAACTTCAAGTTATTCTACTGGATTATTTGGTATCAAACGAAGGGCCGAGTATGATCGAAACGGAAATGCTTTCAATGAGTTTGGAGAAGGTATCTGCCTACGCTTTAGGAAAGAAAGAAAGCGAGCTAAAAGGTGCTCGCTTTAAACCTCCGTCAGGCTCTGCCTTTGGCTTAGGCGATGGTAAGTAGTTTATTAGGTTCAGATTTAACTCCTACTATCATGAACCAATCATGAGGCATAATCAAATCCGATTACTCTCTCAGATTAACCAATCACAAGCGCAATAGATTAGCGAGAGGAAGAAGGATGAGCTAATCAAATCCGATTACTCTGTCAGATTAATTAACAAGTGCAATAGATTAGCGAGATGAGGAGGTATGAACTAATTAAATCCGATAACTGTATCAGATTAACTAATCACAAGCGCTATTATCTTGAGGAGGAAGTATGATTAATGAACTAATCAAATCCGATGACCCTATTTATCCCAGGTGATTTCGCGCTTTTATTTCAGCCAATAAGCGCTCAGAAAGGGTGGTCCAAATAGAAATCCAATTTTCAGTAATTTAACCGCTTATGTCTTTCGTTATTCTTTATAAAACTTGTCAAATATTTGTCATTGCGTTTACGTACAAGAACTATAGCACTGACATAAATTTCGAACCGAAAAAAAAGGTTAACCATATCTGATATATGTTTCCTCACCTCAAGTTCTGTCAAATCCCAACAAAAGCTATCTTCACGTGCAACCGATCGCTATCGAGGTGAGCAGAGATAAAATGATGCAAACTTAGCGTCAGCTAGTGCATTCTAGAAAACGTATTCATCCTTGAGGACTTTCTTGGATTATACGCCTTGAAAAAACGATAAGTAAAAATAACTATACTTCCACTTGTTTTTTAACAGCTCACTTTGTTTGACAAAAATCCTTTCACTTGGGACAACTCGAGTGAAAATGTCACGTCCAACGTGATTGATATTGTAGTTGAATCAAAGAGCCTGAACATGTCATCTTCCAACCTTACAGAAGATATTACTCTTACAATAACCCGAGATCCATCATTGATTAAGGATGCAAACAATTCGTTCTACCTAAAACCTCTTGAGTTGAATGAAACGAGCAAAACAAGAGACTATTTGAAGTTTCATTGCTTTACTCGACGGAGTAACTACACTGCCATGAATTTCGAAATGAAACCTGAAGACGTTGGAATTTCTTATAATGTAAGTAACAATGGTTATGTGCAGTAAAGTAGAGCTGTGAAGGCAGTTCATAACCGTGAAGAAAAGGACAAACTTTCGAATTTAATTAATCTCATTAATTCTGTTCCTTAGCTAAAACGAATTGAATGATATTATCCATTAGCAGAAAATTACTACTACTACATTAGCAGAAAATTACTACTACTACATTAGCAGAAAATTACTATAACTAAATTACAGCAAGCGAATCCTGAAATATTGCTTTTTTAATCTACATAAAAATAGTAAATTGTCCTCTTTTTTTTGACTTCCTAATTTCATTTCCTGGGTTTGTTCAGGACTTGGACATGTATCGGGCTTCTGAGTATCTTCTTTCTCTGTCTACTTCATGTTAGGTATTCATGAAGAAAGGTGGAAAACCCGACGTCAAAGCAGGAGATTACGAGTTCGTTTACAAATTGCCAGACTTCAGTACTTGTAAAGTTGGTAACGACAGCGTGTATGCATCACAATCACAGTCGGGAAACGCTAAACCTGTTCATATTGACCCAACAAAGTGTGCAAAAGATCTTTACACAGTGTTTGTATCGAATTTGGATTTCAACGGTACTGGGGAGTACTGTTTCGGTAAGAAATTATTGAAAGTAATAATACATACATATGATACATATCTTTTTCCAAGAGTACGTCAAACCGTTGAAATTCTCTTTGGAAATTTTGTGCATGCACATGAGCTTTGCCGCCTTTGCGGTTTCAAACACTTTGCGGAAGGACAGAGCTGGTTCTCGAGTACCGTCCTTGAGTACCAGCTCTGGATGAAGTCTTACCGTGACCAAGTGCCTCTTGTTATCACTTCCTCAAGATTCAAGGCATTGCTATTCTGTTTTACTCTAGCTGTACAACACACTGAACAATTTCATAATGAAACTTACCCTGATCCAGAGTCGTCCTTCAGCTCTCGAAATCGGCGTTCAGTTTCCTGTGAAGTTGGCGCCAGACGTGTTCGTCGTTCGTGTGTCATTATCCCCCCTGCCCCACCGAAGCCAACTGACCCTCCTGGAAAGCTTAAGATCCTCGTGGCCGACAATCTAGGCTTTGATGGCAAGTTCTTTCATCCCAACCAAACACCGAACTACAACCTGACCATGTTCGAATCCAGCTGTATATTCTGGGATGTTGTCAATGAGACATGGAAAGGTGAAGGCTGCAAGGTAAACCTGAAAATTGTTATTCGAAATTCAACGTGTGAGATTTGTGAACTCGGCTATTCACACAACAGTGCGTTTGAAAAGTTCATATAAACTTTTTGTAAACAGGTTGTAATAGGAACGAACAGAGAACAAATCCTCTGTTCCTGTAATCACTTGACGTCGTTTGGAAGTGATCTTCTTGTTGCTCCAAACCCAATTGACTTCGACTCGGTCTTCAGTAATTTTGGCAGTCTTTCCAACAATGTTGCTGTGCTGGCTTTGATATCGACCATTCTTGGTTTATACATCATTGGAGTGATCTGGGCAAGACGAGCGGATAAAAAGGATTTGTTATTGGTGAGTTTGTTTCTCCTGCCTTCCGTTTCTTGCTAAACTGCCATGTCATGTTATCTTACCTTGTCAGCTTACCTTGCTCCCATTTATTCATTTGTATATATTCAATAATCTTACCGCATCATAAGTCTTCTTATATTACGTCTTAATACCCCTTGTCCCTCACCTTACCTATCTCATCTATATCACCCAACCCCACCTTACCTTCGGTACATCACCTGTCACTCATACATCAATCATCCAAATGCCCCTTTATACCCAACCTACTTCTCATTTCATATCACCTTACCCCACCTTACCCCCCTTACCCCAGCTTACCTCTGCAATTCGCAATAGCTAACCTTACGTGCTTTGCGTCAACTTCTTTTCCGACAAATCAGGTTGGTCCAACGATCCTTCAAAAACCTCGTGCAGACTATCACTACCTCATCACCACCGCCACAGGTAGCAGACAGGGAGCCGGCACTACAGCAAGAGTTGTGTTTACGATGACAGGCGACGAAAACGAAACACTACCAGTTTGGTTACACGATCGAGAAAGGCCATGTTTCCAACGAGGTCAAACCAACTCTTTTGTAGTTTCATATCCTCACGGTGTTGGTGATCTGAGCTATATTCAAATATGGCACGATAACTCAGGTAAAGTTAGTGTAAGGAGCAGGTATATGCGGTAAAAAGTCTTTCATAGATTTAAAAACACCTAACATTTGAAGTTTAATTTCGTCCACTCGCCCACCATGATTTTTACATAACGAATTAAGCCTTCTAGGTTTTCAAATGTAACCTTTCATGCTATAGGTTCCTCGCCATCTTGGTATCTCAGTCGGTTGACCATAAAAGATCTTCAAACAGGTGTAACATGGACTATGGTTTGTGAAAATTGGTTGGCTGTTGAATCAGAGGACGGGAAAGTTTGTCGAATACTGTCTGTGGCCAACGAAGAGGAATTGACAAGCTTCAATCATGTCTTCTCGAAAAAAGCAATCAAAGGTCTTGCAGATGGCCATATATGGATTCTCCATTGTATCCAGACCTCCCACAAGCAATTTCACGCGCGTCCAACGTCTCTCATGCGCTCTTTGCTTGCTGTGTTGCACGATGATTACGAGCGCAATGTTCTATAACATGGGAGGTCAGGGTCCAAGTCCTTTCGCTGTTCAAATAGGTTCGATGGTTATCGACCTAAAGCCGTTCGTGATTGGTCTGCAGAGCAGCATCATCATTGTCCCAGTGAATGTGTTAATCGTGCAGATTTTTCGCAATCTCCGGCCGAAAAAAGAAAAACCTGAAAAAACAACCGTTTCCGAGGAAGAGGGAAACGACGAAGAGGAAGGCGCAATAAAAAGGAATGATACAGTCGAAGGAGTTCAAATTGAAAACCAAACTTCACCAAAAGGCAAACTTCCATATTGTTTTATCTACATGGCCTACGCGATTTGTTACCTCGCGTCTGCCGCTTCGATATTTTTCACATTGCTCTACAGCATTCAGTGGGGAGAGGAAACTTCAACAGAATGGGTGATTGCCATGGTTACATCATTTTTCCAATCAGTGTTGCTTCTTCAACCAATCAAAGTGGTTGTTGCTGCTGTCGTGTTTGCGTTGTTTATCAAGAAAGCAGATGACAGCGAGGAGACTGGTGACGAGGGACTTGTGGTCAATAAACCTGACGTGGAGGAAAAACAGTTGGCTGAACGAAACTTGGCAGAACTGAAACGGAAGATGGGAGCAATTGGCAATCCAATAGGGAAAGTAAAAAAATATTACAGGTAACTTATACTGGAAGTGTATGGGCTCTTGTTAAACGCAATGCTTCAACTAACTTCCCACATTATGTACTGTTGATTTAAAAATTTATGGGTAACTGAATGTTAGCATGGTATGAAAAAATCTGAGGGATTAAATATAATTGTGTATGTCAATATTCCAGTAAATAATTGTCGTCATCTTTGAACCCAGGCGTACCTTTTCCCGGAAGTAGCCAATATTTATGCATTCTGATTGGGTTTCTGAAAATGTAAACAAATTTGCTGATTGGTTCATAAGGAAATTCTTCTCTCCGAAACTTCTCCTTGTTCTCGTTTCATGAATCCTGAAATTTTCTGCTTCTTGCAAATTGAATTATATTCAAAATACTCCTGTACGATTGCGTTGTACAGGACTTGATATTCTGTTCATTTCATTGCAGTCCTCCAAGTCCGGCCAAGCTGCGGAAAGCGAGAGAAAAACGTCTGAAAGAGATCAAGATGAACGCTGCCTTGAAAGAGATGTTTGCTTTCTTTGTATTTCTGATATTGCTGATGGCCGTAGCCCAATACCACAGACATCCAGACACGTTTTTATTAACGAAAACTTTGTACGAGACTTTCGAAGAAGTTGACGCCTATGGACTTGATCTATCGACAGTAAGTATGATAAAATAAAATATAAATTCTACAGATCAGTCGTGAACGTTATTACTAAACATATCACCACTTTTCTGTTCTCCGTGCTGTATGTCTGACATGCGTATTTCCGCAGATCTCTGACACAGATTCCTTATGGATGTGGGCACGTGAAACGCTCGTTCCTGGACTTTACGCAAAAGAGTGGTATAACGGTGAGGAAATACCGAAAGGATGGCTGGGGAATATTCACGATTATCTCGTGGGTGTCCCGCGTGTAAGATTACTTCGCGTGGAGAAGGGTAAGTTCATAATCCTGGACAGCAAACCAGAAGCATTTTTCTAGTAACTTATCGGCTAATACGGGTTCATCCAATTAAATTTTAGATTCGTGCCCAGTGTCCAGCTACTTCAAAGACATAATCCCCCATTGCTACAGTGGATATGCCCTGAGCGATGAGGAAGATGAGTCTTATGAGGTAAGCTGGAAACCACTAGGAAAGGGAACCTCCCGAAAACGTCGCGATATTGCAGGGCCTAAGACTGAGTCGGAATGGTCGAAACTTTTGCTCAATGGGAACGAAGTGGAATATGGACACGTGCAGAATATTCGGCATAAAAGAGCACTGGATCCAATCATGGGGAGTCTGAGCGGCAAAAAACGAAGAAAGAAGAAGCGTTTGCTGGCCAGCGCTCAACCAAAGGAGTATGTTGTGAACGACAATGCATTGTTACCAGATGGTAGAGTTTTGTCGTGTCTTGAAAGATGGAAACATCAATCAATGATAGATCTTCGAGGTTTTCCATACTGGGGTACAATCACTATGTACAGCGGTAGCGGCTACGCAGCAAACCTTGGTTATGACACTGTCACTGCTTACACTGTGGTTGCTGACTTGCATTCGAACGGCTGGATTGATATCCAAACACGTGCTGTGTTTGTAGAGTTCACCGTATACAACGCGAATGCAAACCTATTTGGCATCGTTTCGCTCTTTGTAGAATTTCCACAATCTTCGGCTGCCATCACCAGTGCCCAGTATCAAGCTGCGCGGTTTTATCTTCACCTCAGTGGCGCCCAGACTCTGGCTCATGTCCTGGTCATCTTCTTCATGATGTATTTTCTCTTCAGGGAAGGGAAACTCGTTTACAAACAGCGCTGGTCTTACTTCAAAGGCTTCTGGAATTGGGTTGAAGTCATCCTCATTGTCAGTGAATTCCTATTGATCGTCTTATTCCTGGCACGTCTCTACGAAGTTGACAGAAATCTTCTTCAGCTACGAGAATCCAAATGATTACGTTGGTTTCCAATATGCTGCGAATGCAGACGCCATGATGACCTACATCCTTGGTGTCCTTGTGTTCTTCTACATCTTACGTTTCTTGCGATTGAGGTTCAACAAAAACTTCCTGTCATCGGGAAAACATTGGAGAGAATAAGCTCGCCTATTTTGAATTTCTGTTTGCCGTTTATCGCAGGATTCCTCGCGTTTGCCCTTCTCGCCTTCGCTATGTTCGGTTCTGAACTTGAAGATTACAGCTCGTTCATGAGGTCAATGGTGGCTCAATTTAGCATGCTCTTGGGAGATTTTGACTTCGAAGCCATCTTCATGGTCAACCCCACCGTAGCAACACTGTATTTCTTTTCTTCATTGGTTTAAACGTGATGGTGCTCATGAACATGTTCATCGCCATCATCAACGACTCCTTCGCTGAGATTCAAGAGAAACTGCTGAATTCAAAACGAACTGGAAATTATCGATTACGGTACGGCGAATATTTCGCAGGTCGTCAAAAAAAGATTTAGGCGTGGTAAAGTGGTACTTGTTAAAAAGAAACAAAAATCATTAAAGCCGAAGAAAAGTGAAAAGGCTTCTTACAAGAAGGCGTGTTCCATGCTGGATTCTCGTGCAAAGAAGTTGGATCTTTTTCTGGAAATTATTGACCAAAGTTTGGGCGAGGATAAGCTGGAAGAGAAACGATTTTTTTCCGTGCCAAAGGACAAGCAACAGGATTTATTCTTCCGCGTTTTGTGTTTGATGGAAAATATACTGGATGATGATGATGATGATGATGATGTGGATGTGGAAGAAAGCGAAGAATATGAAGACAGTGAATACGAGCGCAGATCACATTCCAGTGACGACGACTAGTGTCAAATTGTAAGGAACTTGTGTTCGAATCTGCTCAAAGCTGGACGGCTCCTGTGCAGCTTCTCGCCTGAGATGATCAGATGAATATAAGTACCTTTCCTTTGGCCTGTACAAAACATTAGTTAGCAGTCTAATATTCGTTTATATACACATAGGAAAGAAATTTCTTGCCCTTAACCTTTTATATGAGGTATTTTAATGTTTGTATCTGCGTATTGGCGTAGCTATATCCAGTAATCATATTATAGTATTTAGTATTTTTATGAGTACAGAACTCAGTTTGGTTCATAAAGAATCGCTCTATAAATAGCGTTTTTAACGCTAACGACTGATTTACTATTTAAAGTGACAAAGTCTGGCAGTATCTAGATTGTTATATTAAAACAATGGTTTTCCCCGCCGTCTTACGGGGAGGTAAAATACCCCTTATATGGGACAAGTTTGACTTATACACCTAGATATAGGTATATCAGTATATCTAAATGTATTATAATTTATTTATATCTGTATTTTATATATTTATTAACTAAATTTATGCACAGTTGAATCGTGGATAGTTAAAAGACGTGATTATAGACGTGATAGTTAAAAGATAGTGATTTCATTATCCATGGTAGAATATTGAAATAAAAATCGTTCTTCACTCAGTAAATTGACGTTGTGCAATTCGATTTTAAGAAATTGCCCTTTGGCATTTTGGCGGTAATTTGTTTGCAATTTTTTGGCGGCAATTCTTTTTCAAATTAGTCTCAAATATAAGAGGATACAAAGATATAATGTTGAAATTTCAAGGCATTTTACTCTCAACATATAAAATCTTTTTCCGAACACCTAGTCAATGTCAAATTGATCTCTACACACATAAAATAAATTCGTTTTGCAGCCTTTTGAAACTCGCACTCGATGACTATGAAGTCATCTTTGTGACTAAATATTTATTATGACTAAATACCTTTATAATATAAAACATTTTCCGTTATATAAATATTTTTCTCACAAATTTAAGTGTTAAGGGCCGGCGGAATGTTTTCAATGCAGTTTTTTTCATAAAAGAAACACTCCATTATTTATCATCATTCTTTCTCATTACCAGGCCTCGTGCACGTGCGCGAAGCAAATACATTTTAATGTTTATAATTCGTTGCTAAGGTTATGCACAGGTGTTTTGATTGGTTTATCTTGTTCCGCGGTTGGTTTGTCCAATAGAATTCGCTGTTTTATATTGTGGTTATGGCAGGTACTGGTCTCCGTCTGAACTGCGTCGTTGTGACAAACGGTCCAATGTCTTCGGATGGCGGGACGTCTCCTATGCGCATGATGTTTTGCGTATAGATTTATGGTAAAGTTGAAATTCGTTTTCCGAAGCAACGAATCGTACGATGTATATCTTTATGGTAAGTATGAACGTTGGTTTGGGAACTGTTTCGTGAGTTTGGTAATGGTGTGTTTACAAAAAGGCGAAAATTGTTATTGTAGCGACAAAATTTAAAGACGGAGAGAATTGCGTGAAAGTTTTATTGCAAAGGCAATAAAATGAGAAGTGCGAAAGATATTTTGGTTATATCCATTTCGAACACGCTGGGCTTGGAAAATATTCAATTGTAAATTTCATTAACACCTTAGCATGGGCTCGCCTAACTGAATTAGTTTCCTGGATAAAAAATAGGAAATCGATTCGAAAGATATTTTTTTAGTTCTACAGAAAGTGAAAAATAACAGGTTTCCAGAATCCGTCAGCTTTGCAAAAATAATCTAGTTATCGTAAAGTATGATATGAAATTATTTTTTTGTTCAACATCATATTCAAGCTTTAATAATTCATCGCTAATTATAATGAATAATAAATATATCAGAAACATGTATACATATGTATCTTAGTTACCCTTAAAGCGCATAAACCAAATAGAATGAATTGAATCTATCAATGTATAGCGTTGCTATGTTCCTCAATACTTACGCTTCCAGCCATAAAACGAGGTTGTCACTTCACTGACAAGATATATGCTTGTTGCATAGTTGTAGAATTTTTCACCAAAGCCGTTGTGAAAATTAATTTAGAATTTTTGGGGCAGAGCTAGAAAATGCTAGGGGTGTTCAGTTCCTCGTAAGCTATATGCTTGATTAAAGTTCACTTGTATATTATTTCATTAACATCTTAGCAGGAGTTAAGCGCGTGATTAAATTAGTTTCAAGATGAAAAGATGTGCCGGACTTTGTCGTTTGTATTCATTTAGACTGTATTTACAAAATATATAGTTATCGCATAATATTCAAAGTTTTCACAAACCTGGTGAAATAAATGGAGGTGGGGGGTTCTCGTGTTTAACCCTTGAGTCATTGATCGATAAACTATGATGTGATAAAATGACTTAATTGGGTGGCGAAACGTCCCGGGGGCATCTACAGGCCTGGGGATCGGGGCAGATTGTTTTTTTACCCCCCCCCCCCTCCCGCGTTAGAGATTAACAATACAAATTATACCAATTCTATTTACAATCTGATTTTCTAGATTATACTTTTTTCCTCCCTCTTGGGATTATCGGAAGGTATGTAATGTTTCATGAATTAGTCCGTAAGCATTAATCCGTCGTTAGAAAAGCAGAGTAACTTCAATGTAGATACGAGTCATACGACGAATAAACCACCGAATATAGACCATTAATTTTAAAATTTTTCCAATGCGAATATCGCGGGGCAGTATAATAATTCAACCTTCTCTCTTTTTTCAAATCAGTCTGGTGCCTCTTCTTTCGGTGTATACACGAAAGTTTCTGCTGCATCTTAGTTCGAGAGGACTACGGACCAATACTTACCTTTGTAAAAACATTGACGGTATAATTGCCTGTCCGTGATTGTTGGAGTTCATGCCCAGGAATAGCTTTAACTTCAGCCATCTTTGGCTTTTTTCCAGGAATCAGTGAAAACCAACCTTCGATATAATTCAATATTTACAGTCCATATAACCTTGAGTTTCTGTTTTATATATAGGCTCATGTACGCAAACCATACGGATGGGTATTGAAGATGGTCGTGTTCAAGACTCTCAACTTTCGGTTTCGTCCTATATTAGCCAAAATCTTGATGCAAAATCATCTCGTCTTAATACGCCGCGAGCTTGGCGAGCTGATTTGGGAGACAGCAAGCCATGGATACAGGTTGATTTCTTGCGGCCTGTGACTGTGACAAAGGTCATCACACAAGGTCGCGAGGATTCTGGACAATGGGTGAAAGAATATAGGGTGAGGTCCAGGATTGGTGAAGGTACATGGACTTCTGTCTCGGATTCATCGGGTGCCCCAAAGGTAAGTCTCGATTGCATATTTATGAAGTTTTTTTTCCTATCGCAAACCATTAGAAAACCTGCTTGAAATTTAGTGTGTCTCCATTTTTGAAATTCAGTGTGTCGCTTTTTGAAATTTTGTGTGTTTCCATTTTTGAAACTTAGTGTGTCTCATTTTTGAAATTTAATGTACCGTATTTACTCGTTTAATGCGGCGCTTATTCGAGGGCGGCGCTTAATCGGGGATGGTGCTTCTTAAAAATGTTATTTGTGAATTGTAATAAGAACTTTAAAAAAAAAGAATTGAAAGTTAGATGTAGCCCAATGTTCCCATTTTGACAGCGAGCATTTGGACATTTTACAGGAAATAAACCTCCTCGCACAAACCACTGGAATCTCCGCCTTCACGACTGACCTGTGCCTTACGATAATTCTAAAACCGGTTTAACAATGGCGCCTCTAACAATTCTGACGGTGCGTCGATTAAGCGCCGAATTTGAAAACAATTAGTGCGGCGCTCATTGGGGGGCGGGGGGCGCTGAATCGAGTAAATACGGTATTTCCAATTCAGTCTGTTTCTTTCGTAATTTCTCTCATTTCTCTTCCCGATTGCAAATGACGAATTTCGATCACATATAAATAAGGACATTTTTTTAGGACTTCACTGGTAACAAAAATGATAAATCACCTGTCACTCGTGATCTTCCAAGCCCAGTAACAAATCAGATTTTTCGTATTACTGCAAGAACGTGGAGTAAATACTGTACTATGAGATTTGAACTTGTTGGCTGCTATCCAGGTAATCTTTATTTATTTCTGCTTCACACAATTTGCCTTGAACCACTTAAGGAAAGGAATCGAAACGTTCGCCGTAATCATCAATCAGTAGCGAGAACTGGACCAACTGGCTAGTTCCTTCCAGTCAGAGCCAGCCACACGGCCCCCATAACAAACTGGAAATAAATTTTTGTTCAAATTCTTCGTCTAATTGGAATATTGTACCTAACAAAGCAACCATGCACTGACATATTATATGTTTATTATCGCGGCAATCCTAACCCCTCTCAATGGAGACGTTCAACGCATCCAATAAAGCGAATGTGACTTAGCAGACGTATTCTTTTTATGGTTTCAGGCTGTCGAGATAGGGCAGCCCTTGGTTTCGAGAACGGCCTCATCCAAGATTCTCAAATAACTGCATCCTCCTTTTCGTCGTCCCGTACAACTCCGCAATTAGCAAGATTGAATCAACAAATCTCTGGTCGTGATCTGGATGGCTGGCGTGCTGCCCCAGCCGATTCGGCGCCCTGGCTCCAAGTCGATTTTATAGCCAAGGTCATTGTGGAAGGTGTACAAACGCAAGGACTCGTGGACACTGTTATGTTTGTGAAAACGTACGAACTACATTATAGCGATGATGGCTACAGTTTTATCGGATATAATGAAACTCAAGGAGCACCCAAGGTATACTAAAAATTACGATGCGGAAATCAAAATTATTTTGGGGAGGAGAGGGTGGTTGTGGGGGGGGGAAGTTTGGGATAATGAACCGAACCGACATTATAGGAAGGGGTAATTTAGAGAAGATGGAAATTGGAGAGGTATCTAGGGATGTTTTCCCCAAAAATATTTGTGGACAAAGCAGTTCTTTGGGGAACAAAGGGGACATAGCATTTGCCTCTCTTCCCAGCTTATCCGTCAAGGCCTCAAGTTTACATGAAAGAGAATTTGAATTTAAAAAACTGTATGCCATCATTATTATTTGAGACAAGAAAGAGAGTTTAGCAAACTGAATGTTTCAGCAAAATTTTGCAAAAGAAGTCAACTTTGCTGTCGCTCTCAAGGCATGACATATTATCGTCCATTTGTCGCCATGATGTATTTACCATGCGGCATCACTCTCGTGTTAAATTATCTCCTTGATTTATCTCCTCTTCTGCCAGGTGTTCAGTGGTAATACTGATAGTTCAACAGTTGTCCAAAATGAAATATCACCAACCATTGCACGGTATTTTCGCATAAAACCGTTAACATGGGAACATCTCTGCGGACTTCGAGTGGAATTTATTGGATGTTACAAGGGTAAGAAGGATCTAATCACTACCCTAATCGTTTATGACCATCTTCAACCATTACTATCTATCAACACCATGCACCCATCATCGATCATCATCATCATCATACGAGGGCCGTGTAATAAGGCTGTATCTTCACAGTTGAAAATTTGTATTGTTAAATCCCAAGCGAGTATAACGAGTAACCTGTTTCAGTTTTCTTGAATATTTCAACCAAATACTTTGAAACTTAGGATTCGACGTTTGAAGATTCCAACTGTGATCACAGAGAATTTGACAGTGTAAACCGGGTGCAAAAATGCCTAAAATGCAAAATTAATACAAATAATGTATCTTAAGGCACAACCAGAGCGCATCCATGCACCCCAGAAATATAATAAATTCTTAGTAAAGAGCGATTCAGCTCTACAATTCCAGAAACGGCAGTTTGAAATACTGCGCTGAAACTGATAGCGCGACATAACTTCGTTTGCATGCCCTGATAGAATATCTATAACATTGATGCACTGTATTTAAAACTTGGATATGATATAATGTCATTATCCGCCATCATTCAAAATCATAATTTATTAGAATCAAGGTAATTAATCCTATATAGATTGCCAAATTTTCACAATGTTGTTTTCGTTTTTAGACTGCGTGTCGTCAAAGGCTCTTGGCTTAGAGGACGAGACTATAGAGAAAACGCAGCTGATGTCGTCGAGCAGTAAGGGTGATCGCTATTCCAAAAAGTACGCTAGGCTCAACTCTAACGACTGTTGTGGATGGCAACCAAATGAATCAGACTTAGACCCGTGGTTTGGAGTTGATCTTCTAAAAGACGCATTGATCAGTGGTGTGGCTACGCAAGGAGACGTAAGCCATAAATTGTGGACGAAAAAATTTAAGTTCTCGTACAGTACAGATGGAGAGAACTTCGCGTTTTATAAATTCAACGGTGCCGTCAAGGTGAGAATACTACTTTTTGTTGTATTCTTCATCAAAGTCGAAGTTTCGACTGTATAAGAAAGAAGGAATAAAATGAAGAGATAGCGAAGTCTTAGGGCTCCGTGTACATATTGCAAGTTACATGCTATTCATTTCTCAATATGTACAATTAAACGTGGAATTTCTTTTCATTTCCATAACGGTTTGTACGTATTGAGAAATTCTAGGTCCCTGTGATCACAGTAAGAACGTTTGAGGGACCATAGACTGACACTATACGGTTATTTTAGAATAGTAAAACTTCAACTGCGATGACAGGCTCTCTTAATTATACCATAAACCACGCCTTTTTCTTACCGTAACTTTTCTTTGATTTTTGTAGACTTTCCAGGCTAATAATGATGCAAGTTCCGTCGTCAAACATAATCTCCCTTCACACATTTATGCTCAATTCGTCCGTTTTCACCCGGTATCGTGTAATCAAGCGTGTGTCTTGAGGGCTGAGATATACGGCTGTTTTGACGGTAGGTTTTAAGCTGGTTGTTCAAGTTTAAGGAAGTAATATTACTATAACAGTAGTGATGATAATCCTATGATAATCGATGATAATTGACATGATAATCGTTAATGATTTATATGATAATCAAGAATAATTAATATGGTAATCAATGATAATAATCGATGATAATTGATATGACAATCGATGATGATTGATATGATAATCGATGATAATTGATATAATAATCGATGGTAATCGATATGATTATCATCGATTATCATTGATATGATAGTTGATTAACACTTTAATTTCAGGGATTGACAATTGTGCATCAGTCACGTGTCGGAATAACCAAAGTTGCACCGACCAGTGGGATAATTTCAAATGCGAATGTTCGTCATATTATCGTGGAGATCTATGCGACATAGGTACGACTTTTTAAATATTGTTCGTTTAAGAATACTAATGTCGCATGAATATTAATGCTTTCCCTAATTACTATAAATGGTTAATTTAAAATTGTGGGATGTTTATGAATGATTTCATTGCAGTATGTCAAGTTGAAGAAGATCTTGGTTTAGCGGATGGAAACATTAGCGATTCTCAGATAACAGCCTCTTCTGTATTCTCTGCCTCGTATCCTGCGAGTGCTGTAAGATTGGGCACCGCAGAAGACGGCTGGCGTCCTGGGGAGAATGATTACAACGCCTGGTTGCAGGTGGATTTTGAAGAAAGCGTAAAAATTTCAATGGTTAAAACCAAAACGCCGAATGAAATGGGGTACTTTCTTAGAACCTTTTCCGTTAGCTACGGAGACGATGGCATAAACTTTGCAGATTACCAAGAAGATGGAAGAAAGAAGGTGTTTATTCTGTCATGTGCTAATTGAGTCCTTCCTCGTTGATTTTCAATCCGAATGGTGCATTTTCAACCTCACAATAATCCCTCTTCACCCTCACTTTTAACTCCCCTAATTATCAATTAACCTTCCTAAACGTCAGGCAAATCCAATCAGATTAATACTTCATGTAAAATTGTAAATAATGTGCCTTTCTACCGGAAGTAGTGAAATTTATGCATTCTGATTAGTTTACTGAAAATGTAAAGAAACTCGCTAATTGGTCTAAAACAAATTTTCCCCCTTGTTTATCATCCTCCAAAGTGTCTCACGCCATAATGTTCTTTCAGGTTTTTAAAGCAAATGTCGACAATAATACCATGGCTGTGAGTTTCTTCTCGTCGAGTATCAATGCTCGATATATTCGGATTCACCCACTATCATTTAACTCGCGACCCATTTTGAAAATGGAGCTTACAACTTGTAAAACACGTAAGTATTGTTCGTAAATATAACCTAAACTAGCATTTTTTAAATCCGCATCTTTCTGCATCTTCTTTTGAGGAATTATTCCTGATACAATTGATGCGATATAGGCCTGTCAGTTGTTCCAAATCCTCCTAAAATGCGGTTCAATTTTAAACTAAGAGTATTAAATTTTATTACATTAGCTTGTTGGCTAGTTCCTGTTGGAATGGAAAGCACGACGATTCGTGATTTCCAGATAAATGCCTCTTCCAACTACGATGTCCATTATCGTGACATTTACGCTCGACTAAATCACCCAACAAACTATTGGTCTCCGGACACTTCTGATGACAGCAATCCATGGCTACAGATTGACTTTTTGTCTGTGAGAACTGTTGGTGCGATCGAAACGCAGGGAGGTGGCGCGTCTTCTCGTGTGGAAACCTACACTGTTAGCTATGGAAATGATGGCGTAACGTTTCAAGTTTATATAAAAAAAGGCGTGGCAAAGGTGAAGAAACTATCGATGTTAACTTGTTTCATATCATTTTGATCATTCCACTTTTCCACTATTTACATTGAATTTGAAATCCATGAGGTATATATATAAAAAACGAAACAGATGGGGCGAGCAAAACACGTACACAAGACGAAATAATTCTGGTTATATTTCGTAACTTCATTCCCAAGTCAGTCATTGTCAAACAATCAGTTTTTGTAGTTGGCTTAACAAGAACTTTAGACTAAAGTCGAAATATCACCCAAATTTTGCGTCATTAATAACTCAACTTTTGGGTTCGCAAGATGATGTTTTTCGGAGTGCATGTGTGTCGTTTATTATGTATTTCATCAAATTGTGTGCTTGTAAAAGATTATGAATCAAATCAAAACCAGAGTATCGATAATTACGATGGGTTATATACCTGGTTGCCGTGAACTCATTAACTTCAAATCCAAAGTGCCGCTTTATGTTCCGCATTTTAATTTTACACTTAGATGTTTGATTTGGCATTTCAATGTTTGATTCTGCTAATTACTTGTTAATTACATGTAGGTCTTCACTGGTAACAGTATTCTTCAAATTTCGACGATCATACGACAAACTTTCTCTCCGGAAATAGAAGCGAGATACGTCCGCATTAATCCAAAAACATGGGGAATGTACATAGCGCTACGAGTGGAGTTCTTCGTCTGCTCTGAAGGTAGGATTACAGCAGAACCATCTCCCGAGATCTGATAATGTTCTCGTCCTTTCTGACGATTACCCTTGTTGTAATCTCTTAAATATTATTCTACATAAGGAATATTATTTCTTTTACAGTCTGTCTTCCGACTAACCCATGCCAGAATACTGGAAAATGCGTCAGTTCAACGTCTTGCACCTGTCCTGCGTCAACTCAGGGCCCTACGTGTGAATGTAAGTACTTCATTTTGCATCCTACTGTTGATTCTACATACCCGTTTGCTTAAAGTAAAGTCGGTTTGAACCATAAACAACGACATCTACCGAACAGCATACGGAGCATGCATGTTTGATATAAATTGGCGTATCGTAAAAAAGTGTTGATTCGGAAATAAGAACATTGACTAGTGACAGAAAATGTTGTCCTGTGAAATTGTGAATGATGTGATACCGTAGATATCTGTTTGTTTGTTTATTTGTTCGTTCGTTTGTTTGTTTGTTTGTTTGTTTGTTCTCTTGCTCGCTTGCTTGTTCGTTCGTTTGTTTGTTTGTTTGTTTGCTTGCTTTCTTGTTCGTTCGTTTGTTTGTTTGTTCGTTCGTTCGTTCGTTCGTTTGTTTGTTTGCTTGCTTTCTTGTTCGTTCGTTCGTTTGTTTGTTTGTTTGTTTGCTTGCTTGCTTGTTTGCATGTTTGTTCGTTCGTTCGTTCGTTCGTTCGTTCTTCGTTTGTTTGTTTGTTTGCTTGCTTGCTTGTTTGTTTGCTTGTTCGTTCGTTTGTTCGTTTGTTTGTTTGTTTGTTTGCTTGTTCGTTCGTTCGTTCGTTCGTTCGTTCGTTTGTTTGTTTGTATCAATTTATCGTACAATTTATTAACCATACTAAATTATTTTCATCTCGCGACGGAAGACATAATGTTCCTGAAAGCACCATTTTATTAACAATATGGAGGCAATTAAAACAAATTTATGCGGTTGCCTCACAGCTTGCAAGAATTCAATACCTCTTGGTATGGAGAGCGGCGATATACTGGACGCTCAAATCACAAGCTCCTCGGAGACTTCGGACGGCCTCTATAAGGCAAAGTTTGCAAGACTTAACCAGAAACCAATTGCTGACGTGACAAATGGCGGTTGGAGTCCAAATACTTTCGAAAATTCCTGGCTACAAATTGATTTCACGGCAAGTACTTGGCTGGATTTCTCTTAAAGGCTGCTGTCTCTTAAAGTTTTGATTAGTGAAAATGCAAAAAAAACTTGCCGATTGGTCTAAAACGAAATTCCTCCTACATTTAACTTGCTTTTACTTCAACAGATGAACACAACGCTGATATATTTTCTAATGCAAGGCAAGGAAGGAGCAGTCAACGCGAAAGTTACAAAATCTAAACTTGCTTATAGCCAAGATGGAGTAACGTTTCAGGATTATCTTCATCCTGATGGAGTTAAGGTAAAAATGCACTACGCTATCATGTTTAATCCTTTGAGGACCTGCACGATCCATTATAATAATAATCCTGAGCGTAAAGCTGGTATTCTAAAAGCTCACTCAATTCTTAAACTCATTGAGTGAAAGGGTCTTAATTTCGAGTGGAACTATGCACATGCACACTTCATTTGAGTGAAACGGTGAAAGGCGCCTCAATCTTCTCATAGCTTTTCCTTCACTGTGCGAAGAAGATCACCTTGAAATAGTTGAGGAAATCGAATATGAAAACGAAATGCCAGCACTCTATAACAACCGATGGCATTCATATGAAACACTTACTTTCATGACTTTCTTTAAATAGACTTTCACTATTGGAGAAATGGAGCTTTTCGATAATGTTTCTCGCAGGAATATTGATCCTATGATCATGGCACGCTATGTGAGATTTTTACCACTGGAATTTAACATCGAGGCAGTGGTGAGGTTGGAGTTCTATGGTTGCAACGGAGGTATGTAAAGGCTAGTTTCCATTCAGGAAAAATCTCCTTTGGATCGGAACGGACAGGGAAATTTCCTTTGTCGGTGAGTTCTCAGGCGGCGTTTATACAAAGGAAACTTCCCTGTCCTGTCCGATCCAAAGGAGAATGTTCCTGAGTGGAAAGTGGCTTTAAGTTGGATATATTTATTCAATAGGTTTTTTCAGGAAATATTTCGCGACGGGTTTTCCTGCCTTGATTCTCTCTTTATCTCGTCCCTTCTGCAAAAAATTGAGAACCATAGGCATGACACCTTGACGACCGGCAAAGGGTGATAGTGGAAAGTGACTGGATTTTCATGTGGATGATCTTTGTTATTAACTCGGTTCTAGTAAGGATCTCACAAACTATCTTTCTTTGTAGTTCATTACTGTCTACGAAACCCTTGTCTAAATGGTGGAAGATGCAATGAAATATTACCCGCTAGTTACGAGTGCACCTGTGCTGCCGGTTATACTGGACCGCACTGCGAAGGTAAGTGTTTACAAATACTCAATCTAACAGTTGTATAGTTGTTGATTCAGTTTGATACATCCTTCATTTCAAGACGTTATTCTAACGTGCATATTGTCTAACACATGCATGCAATACACCGTGACAGTTCAAAACGGCTACAAGCGCAGCATATCACACAGGGACCGCGGAGCAGGGTGGTTTGCTGGGCTTTAGCCCCACCAATAATTTTCCGTAATTAGTCTTTAATTTCGAATATTTTTCAGTTCGCTCAAATTTACAAGCAATACAAGCGGCAAAATGCTGGAAACTTTACATAGGACAAGCATTTGACCATTAAAACAGCGTGGTTATCCATTTCAAAAAATTTGACATCATAACCAAAGCATGGTTATATTGTTTAATGTTTGTATATGAGCGCCAAACATGCTGGATACTTTACATTGGACAAGCATTTGACCATTAAAAAAGCGTGGTTATCCATATCAAAATATTTGGCATCATAACCAAAGCATGGCTATATTGTTTAATGTTTGTATATGAGCACCAAACATGCTGGAAACTTTACATAGGACAAGCATTTGGCCATTAAAACAGCGTGGTTATCCATTTTAAAAAATTTGACATCATAACCAAAGCATGGTTATATTGTTTAATTTTTGTTATGAGCGCCAAACATGCTGGAAACTTTACATACTATCTATTATTTTCCATTAATCCTTAAATTGAGAGGCATTTGCGGCGATTTCAGAGACCATATTTCAAAATTTTCCCGGACTCTCCTAGCAGGCGCGCGGCTCCGAGCCCCAGCAATACGAAAAACGCTCCGCGGTCCCTGCCACAGTATGTCCATGTTTCATACTTACACAGCACCACGCACAACTTCATTTTCCTCATCAGTGCAAACATTTTTCATCCCGTCACTTTATCTCACAATTAAAACATCGCACACAATATCCTGAAATACAATACTATACTCCGCTTCATACCCTCCTATACTGATCTTACAAAGACACTATATATACCCTACCACCCCTCCTTTTGTACACAAACATTCCACAGTATCATGTCGTATCATAACATACCACATGTTATGTTACTTGATTGCACTATATTTATCATAAAGGCCCGTTTACACTTGCGATTTTTGCTGCAGTTTTATGTGCGATTTTTCTTCTTTTGATAGATGTAAACGAGTGAATAAGTCACGGATGTTCAAAAGCATTCGTAACTACTCAATCGTTCACATCTACCAAAAGAATAATCGCACTGAAAGTTAAAAGTGTAAGCTGACTTTAAGAACAAACTTTGGTATTCAATATTTAATCATCCTTTCTCAATGTTGTTTTATTCATTTGTGCAATTATAGTCGAACAGTTATGTGCAACATCACCTTGTAACTATGGAGGAACTTGTTTCGAAACAGACGATAGCTATATCTGTCGATGTACGGAATATTATAGTGGTCCAAACTGTGATAAACGTAAGTATACGAACAAACCTATGGTCATAAGGGAAACGTTCCTAACATCATAACATTTATATTCACCAACTTTAGATTGTAGTGTATTCGACGCGGTTGGTATCGCAGACGAGTCTAAAATACTAGATGCCAAAATCACTGCATCCAGTTCACAACGTGACACATTTGGCCCGAGGTATGCTCGCTTGGACGGCAAAAAATGTTGGTGGCCTGATATTAACGATTTAGAACCATGGATAATGGTGGATTTAGGCAGCGAGGTTACTCTTACTAGTATTGCTACTCAAGGCAAGCCGAATTCGGAAGACACCTTCGTCAAAACATACTCAATCTCGTATTCATTGGATGGAAACAACTTCGTTAATTACACAGAAAACGGGACAGCAAAGGTGAGTAACTAGAAATACCTTGTTTTAGTTGTTTATTCAGAGTAAACAACATATTTCCGGGATTCACGCATTGCCATTCCTAGAACATCTATTTATAGAACACCCAACTTGAATGTAATTCATTCTAAAAGCGTCCATATAAACGTTTACCATAAAACTGGTGATATTCAAGAATGATGTCAGTAAGCAATGTATAGGCCAATGCTGATTTAGCTATTTAGCAGAACAGTATTTTTGGCTTTGCAGTACGTTTTGCACGTTCGCCGTAGGAACTTTAATGCTTAAACGACTGCGTGCGTAAACTCACATGCAGCTGTCGAAGCATTGCATTTTATTCGCGAAACGTGGAACACAAACAACTGCATGTCGTGTTTGCTTTCTTGCATCACCGCTTAATTAATATTACGAGTTTTATGGTATAACACAAATTTGGAGAGGGATTTGGCGTTTGCCTTAAAGGCGCCAACCTTAAAGTCTCTGTATTTTTGCACTATTTTTTTCTCCATCAGCATGTTAGAAATAGGTTTTTAGGGCTAGTTCACACTTGTCCTATAAGAATCTGGGATTCCCTTTGTCTGAGGTCGCTGGTGCGCAAGATCCTTTGTCTATCGGGAAATAATGCAATGGGTCCCCGATTCTTAGGAGCTATAGTGTGAATCAGGCCGAAGAATTTGCTCAGATCCCGTGTAGTGGGCTTTGGAATTTTTCGACATAAAGTCTGTCCATAAGTGATTAGTTTAAGCCCAGATTTCATCCAATTAAGCAACGGTGGGGTAGCTAATAATTGTCTTGAAATGCATCTTTTTTTAGATATTTACAGGGAATACGGATGGAAATACTGTTGTAGAAAACGATTTTTCTTTTCGTTTCAACGCAATATTCGTAAAAGTTCACCCAAAGACATCAGGAAATGGAGGAGCTGGACTGAGAATGGAACTTTATTCCTGTAAAAGCCGTAAGTATAGTCTTTTTATAAGGTGCCGGTTGTACGAACTACGAATGCTGGTTAACGCTATCCACCAGATCGTGGTTTTTTCAACCATTGTAAAAGTGCTTGAAAAGCAATAAAACTGCTATCAAAGCCCCGTTTACACTACACTAAATCTATTGGCACGACTTTCGTACACCCTTTAGCGTTTTCATATTAAACCATGCAGCTCAAAATGTGGTGGTTTTAAAGGTTCCCACTCGCTCATCGCAAAAAACAATCTGCAAGCTCGCTGCGAGTAATTTTGTCCAATCACATTGCTTGCAGTTTATTTTATTTTGTGGAAAAGAGCGCCGTTATAGGAAAGGTCCTTTTTCATAATGACGTCAAACGCGGAAAGACTGATGTTACACGAAGTTTGATTGGCTCGATAGTTTTGTGGAGCCAATCAAATTTCGTGTAACATTAGACTTTCCGCGTTTGACGTCATTATAAGAAAGGTCTATTATAGAGCATAGCTTTGGAGAAGGAAGTCGGGATGTTGGCATGAACATGCATTTATTTCTAGTTATTTTAATTTTTTAGCATGCGTTGACCACCCTGAATGTCAAAACGGCGGTGCCTGCGGAATGTATTCAAGTACTGGCGATGCTGCCTGCTTCTGTCCATCTAACTATGTTGGGGATTTATGTGAAAGTAAGTTCCACTTTTGTTGTACTGAAAAAAAAATCTCGTACACAAACGTACCTGATGTGCAAGACTTGCACTTAAACGTATGTTTCAAACCTCAGAGGTTTGAGACAGAATAAAACATTTGTAATGACCTCTGCTCTGCACTATTTACTAGAAATCAAAATTGTAAACTACATGAAATAATAAGAATTACAGAAATAAGGGTATTTTCCCAAAATCATTCCGCTAAATTGTTTCCTAAGCTTCACAGCATGATGCAACAAAGTTCAAGCGATTTGCTACTAAGAACAGTGGCGTTATTTTATATAAATTGTTAAATTATTTGGTTGGGTAAAAACACTGCCAACTTCGGGTGAGCATTAATAACTTGTCTTTTTACAGCTTATAGCCCACCTCCTACAGTCCCTTTAGCCACTGATGCAAATCCTCCACTTGGAACGACTGCAAATCTTCCACTTGGAACGACTGCAAATCTTCCACTTGGAACGACTGCAAATCCTCCACTTGGAACGACTGCAAATCTTCCACTTGGAACGACTGCAAATCTTCCACTTGGAACGACTGCAAATCCTCCACTTGGAACGACTGCAAATCTTCCACTTGGAACGACTGCAAATCCTCCACTTACAACGACTGCAAATCCTCCACTTGGAACGACTGCAAATCCTCCACTTGGAACGACTGCAAATCCTCCACTTGGAACGACTGCAAATCCAGTATCGACCACGCCAGGCTATGCTTCAATTGCAGGCTTCGCACTTAAATCTATATCAGCTCAGAAATTTGGGCAAAGTTTCACTGTCGTGTGGGACATGACCGCTGGTACGAGTGTCACAATTGCTGTATCATACAACGGTATCCCATGCTGCAATGCAGGTCCACTCACCAACACTGGCGGCCAATGCGATTGTATGATATCCGATCCAGGCCTCTTTGACCCAGATGGCGTGGTGAATATTAGTGCCATAGCTTCAAATTTAGCGTCCAGTTCTCCCACATATATCGAAGTCGAAGTTTTAAAAGTTATCACCCAAGTGTCTTTCACCATGTTAACAAGCTACTCAGACTTCGGGGTAAACATCGAGGGTCGTGGGAGTCAGCGAAATGTATTTCCAGCTGAACATCCCGTGAAGTTCAATTGCTCGTATGCAGGTAAGATATCAAAAGATATGAAAACCTTGTGTGATGTGAAAATCTTGTGTAGTGTAAACATTGTTTCTCTATTCAACCTGTCTTGTCTTCTTCCATGAGTGAAACCGTCCCGACCTAATCAAATGATTTGAATTTGTCACGTATTGATTGTCCAACGTATTGTTATCTTTTGAAAATTCGATCATTTCATTTACCAATAGGAGGTCCAGTTACGACTGTGTCTTGGGTGTTCAATTGCGATGCTGATGGTACGATCTCTGAGTCTCAGTCCTTTTTCGACAAGATCTTTCCAAGCAAGACGAGTCAGAACTGCCAAATTACCCTGAGACTAGAGAACAACATCAATTCAACATTAGCACACGGTAGCATTGAACTTAAAGAAAGTTTTATTCTGAAAAGTCTAACGAGCGACGGTCCTGTGAAAGAAAACCAAACTATCACGTTTACAATTTCGCTGGAAAAGTTTGGCACCCAGACTTGTATGTGGGTTGATTTAGGAGACAATAGTTCTCTCCTGGTGTTTGGTGATGCCTCGTGTACCACAAAGTTTGATGTTACTGCGATTAACCCAAATATCTTGACTGTACCTCGTTTCAAGTTTTTCCCAAAGGCTTCAGGTACACAGGAGATCGTCGTCCAGCATGTCTATCTTAACATTGGCTCTTATGACGTCAGGATGAACGCGTCAAATGAGGTTTCCATGGTAACAAAAGACATGGTCGTCGTTGTCATGGCCTACGTTTGCCATAACCCAAACGTCACAATAACAGGTATTTTATGTTTAGTGCCATTTAAACCGAGATTTAGAATGCATTACCTCAACTTAATACATTTCTGATATTTTCCTACATCCATCTGATGTTTAGGTTTAGCTCCAAATACATCCAACGTCTTAAATGCGGCTCAAGTATACCGCTCAGTCGTCATTTCTTTGTCCACCCAGAACGACATTGATTGTGAGAACACAGAACGAACAAGGGCAACATGGAGTGTGTTTAAATTTGACGACGACCCTCGCGAAATGAGAACAGTTCCTGTATCCAGTTTAGCGAAGTCCCTTTATCACTCCGGTATTTCCACCCGGGATCTTTTACTGCCCGGAAATGATTTACCCTACGGTTTCTATGAGATCAGTGTCCGGGTCGAGATGAATGGTTTGCCTGATGTTTTTGGAATTGACAAATTTTACATCCAAGTGGTTCAAACTCCCTGGCTTAAAGCTGCTGTGGTGGAAGGATCCTTCTATACCGCACCTTTTGGCTTCCAGGGATCCCTAGATTCCTCCGCATCTTCAGATCCGGATTTTGCTGGTACAGACGGCATGAGCTTCGTTTGGTATTGCAGGGATGTCGACGATAAAGAGTTCGTTCCAAGCAATCTGACTCGAGAACCACTTGTTTCCGAGGCTGACGATGTACTTCTGCCTATCAATGCGGTAGGGTAATGACAATACTGTTACCATTACAGTAAAATATTCTCGCTTAAAGATGGCCGCCTTTCTTCCATGTTTATGTTCTAGAGGTTACTTTAGGTTACTCTAGGTAACTTAGGTTACTCTACATTTCTAAACCATGATTAGCTTAGCTGAATAGAGTTTATCCGTTAACTTTATTTGGAAAAAATGGAAAATCCTTCCACACAATGGTTCCTACGAAATTCTTCAGAAACAATCCTTCAACTGATATACTGTTGTTTTCTAGTCTCGTGGCTGTTTTGGATCAGGTCGGGGTCGTATAGATACTTCAAATTCTACACTTTTACTGGACACGAATAACATGATGGAAATGAAAACGTAAGCAACTATCTGAATAGAATTTCCATGCAATTTCCACCTGAATGCTAGTTTTGCGAAAGCAAGATTAGTAATACACTGCACAGCCGAGACCACGCACACGCAGTATTGTCCAAACATCCTTGCCACTTCGTCAAACAATAGAGTAAACAGCATTTTTATTATAGATACGAAATTCTGCTCGTTGTATCGAAGACTCATCCAGAGTTTGGTCTCCGTCAGGCGATGACAACAATCTTCTTTCACGTCTCAAGTGGTTTCCCCCCAAAGCTGCAGACGAGGTAACATCAAGTATTAAGTCGCTCAACGAGCTGAGTTGACAAAAGTGTCCATGTTTTGATGTTTAATGGCCATTTTCCCATTCCTACGTTTTCCATTCTAGCTGCTCCAAAAACTGTAAATCAAAAATCATTCCTGACGAGAAGACCATCTTGCACTCAGACTGTTCAGCGTTTTGTACAGGGGAGTTGGTGTTTAGTTGGGCTTTATACCTGTACGATGACATTGACGAGCCTGAACCGCTGAATTTGTCAGCTTTGCATGAAATCCCATCCAAGGACTTTCAAAATTTGGTGTATAATCCAATCAATGAGCTGGCTCTGGCGATTAAACCTAACGCGCTGCAAAGCGGCAAAAAATATACGCTGGCATTTCGGGCGTCGCGTCCAACTGGAGTGATTGGGGAACAGAGAACTACTCTTCGTGTGAATTCACCGCCCTCTGGTGGTAAGTGACTGTGATGTGACATTTTTTCACATCGTTGGACCAGTCAACATACACAGTTTGCCCTAATTCCGAGGCTTTTTAGGCTGCATTTTTCATGTCTGAAGCATTAATCATACTTTAAAGATCAATTTTATCAGCACGTAACACCAGGACCTAAACAATTTTCTAATATCATTTTTTATTATTATTACCAAGCAAAGCTCAAACATACTTTATTTTTGTCCATTTCAGGCACGTGCTCCGTTACTCCTTCGTCCGGTATCTCCCTTTCGACAAATTTCACTTTCTCTTGTGAGGGATGGTCCGACTCTGAATCACCGCTGACCTACAAGTTCTTCTACGGACGCAACCAAAGCAAGACACTGTTCTATTATCGTACAATTGCTTCTGGTGTGAGCATCAGCCACACTGATTGGCTGCCAAGTGGAGAGGAAAGTCACAATTACACCTTAGCTGTCTCCATGGAAATTGCAGATGCGTTCGGATCAAGTTCAATCGAGCACTTTCCAATACAGGTACGTCAAGTTCAATCGAGCACTTTCCAATACAGGTACGTTGACATATTTTAACGAGTTTAGCTTAATCTGTATATCCATATCTGAATAAACCTGGATTCATTATCTATATATCCATAACTGAGTAGACCTGGAAGAAATATTTTCCAAAAGTAACTCATTATATTCCTAAATCCTAATCATCACGCATTAATTCAGCGGGGCTAATCCTTTTCTTCTTTGCCATTTGCATTACAGGTCAGTCCTGCTCCAACAGGAGAACTGAATTTGACTGAAATAACCGATATATTTCACCAACATGTAAAAAATGGAGACACTACAGCAGCCATAGGTCTGGCTTCGGAGTTAAGCTCCACTTTGAATGCTCTCGGATCAAGCGCTGGCAAATCGTCAGAAGAACAGAAAACACCTGGACAGGTATTAGCCCTTATCCGAAAACATTGCGAGCTACGTGCACGGTATGCTATCAAAATCCGGGACAAAACGTGCCTACATGTCTAGCTAACTGCGAAAGGAGATTTCATGAGCCTTTCTTGGTGAATGCAAGTAGTCTCCAGTGCAATGACCCAACTTTAGAATAAAGCAGAAACTCCCAAAACAAGAAATCTTATATATAGCAGGAGGTCTTGCGCTTCACCTCAGAGCAGTGAAACAATTCTCTAGCAGCAAGTAGTTCGCATACATTAATTTTTTGTCGTAAACGTGTATATTTGATCTTTAAACAGGTACGAGAAGAAATGCTGACGTTGATAACTAAAATGAAGCCAAAAGATATGTCCGCAACCTTACAAATCAGCGGTTCTGTTCTCTCACTTGTTGGAGAAGCTGACCAGTTAACGGAAAAGGCACAGGTAACCTTTGAATCATGCAAAATTCGTGTTGACTGGGATTTAGAATTTTCTACCCAAGATTTCATCTGGCTCTTTTCTCAGTCAATTTTAAAGATTGCTGTTCCATTCATTCAGGCATCGTTAATGTTTACAATTCAGTTGTGTTCAAATAAAAATAAGCTCTTTATCTAATAAACTATTCAAATTATATTTATAGGATGCGGCGTTGTCGGCAGCTGAAGTTTTGACAAATAAACTGAAGAATTTAACGCAGAACGATTCGGGATTTAAAAACGTTAAATCTGGAGTGACGAACGTTCTTGGAACACTCGGTTCTTTGAATAGTGGTGGATCAAAGGATTCCGGATCGCTTTCCAAAAACGATACAGTCACCGCGGTAAGAAACTCGTGGAAAATGTAGGAAATCGATTCTCACTTTGAAATGAATGTTATTGCCTGGGGGTTGTGTACTCACCAATTGCTGTCTGTTCAAAAACCGATTAGCTTAACCAAATATTTTTTGCAAATCTGGAAACAAATTTTTTGACAGCATATATCTTTGTTAGGTGTTTCACTTTTTTGTTGAAAATGTTAGCGTTACTCCCCAAAACGTTTTCAAACGAATGAATAGGCAGAAAAAAAACAATACGCGAGTGCAAATCCTTGCCAGCAGCAGGCAGGTTTGGTATTGATCTGGAGTTGAATGCCTAATTCTTGGCGTCACAGTGCTTGCTCTGAAAGCTATATTTCTGGTTTATTTCATCTCTGCTTTTTTTACCGCGATTCATTACATGCAGTCTGCATGTTGTGATGGTTTTCATTACATATATGGTCGAGGCTGCATTCATGTGTTTCAATTCTAGTTCATCTTCCTGTAGGGAAATGTTCAGCGTACTTTCGATTCGGTCGAGAAACTTCAAAGTGTCTTGCTGGATTATTTGGTATCAAACGAAGGTCCGAGCAACATCGAAACAAAAACGCTTTCAATAAACGTGGAGAAAGTAGCAGCTTACACTTTCGGAGAGAAAGAAAGCGAACTAAAAGGAGCTCGCTTCAAACCTCCGTCAGGCTCTGCCTTTGGCTTAGGCGATGGTAAGTAGCTTTCTTTTTTATAGTTCTTTATATTTGCGAGAGGTGCATAGTTCTAATTAATTTTATTGTGCGGAGCAATTACTCTAATTGGTTCAGTTTGTACAGAACAAGGACGAATTCAGTTTTAGATCAATCAGCAAACTTGTTTACATTTTCATTATCCCAATCAAAATGCATATTGACTACTAAAAGGGTACATTGTTTACCATTTTACATAAAGTATGAAAAATTAAGCCATTCTGCAAAATGTAAACAAATTTGGTGAACAGTTCAGAAATTCTCCCTTTGTTTATATACATTCGTTTCTTTCATCCTCTCTGATTCATATTTCTTTCACTTCAAGTTCTTTCAAATCCCAACAACTCTTTTCTTCAAATGCAGCCCATTGACACCAAGGTAAGAAAAATAATCACGCAGTATTTTTAGTGAAGTCTCGACAGCAGTAGCCCTCCTAGAAGTTCACCGCCGAGTTAATTCGGAGATTTGGCTGATCTTAGCGTTCATAAATAGAAAAGTTACTTTTCACTATGACTTGATCGCAGTCTTTGTGAGATTTAGCACGTTGTTGACCAAAAACATATATATATATATACATATCCACAGCAAAAAGTGTAGTTACATCTACACTTACAACCTTCTCATCATGTTTATACTAGTCTTTCTAGTAGCTCTTCCTCAGATAGTTGCCTTTTGTAAACAATGAAAGTTTGCTCCATTGAAGCAAAGACTTATTCAAAAGTACTGAACAGTCGATCAGTCTTACTAAAGGATATTGTTTAAATCACATTTAACTGCAGCCTTTTTCTATAATTCTCTGAGGTTTGGCCCATATTACTTGAAGGACAGTTTGTGATCAAAGCATATTCTGTTTTTTAACAGGTTGCTTTATTCGACAAGAATCCTTTCACTTGGGACAGCTCGAGTCAAAACGTCACGTCCAACGTGATTGATATTGTAGTTGAAGCAAAGAGCCTCAACATCTCATCTTCCAACCTTACGGAAGATATTACCGTCACAATAACCCGAGATCCATCATTGATTATGGATGCAAACAATTCGTTCTACCTAAAACCTCTTGAAATGAATGAAACGAGCAAAACAAGAGACTATTTGAAGTTCCATTGCTTTACACGACGGAGTAACTACACCGCCATGAATTTCGAAATGAAACCTGAAGACGTTGGAATAACTTATAATGTAAGTATGATTCAGTGGTTACCGTGTTTACTAGGATTAAAACAGGTTGATATTAGTTGATCCTCTCTATTCAGCATTCAATAAATCATTTTTGGATTCTGTGAACCAACTTCCTCAGTATCGTCTTTTTCTGTCTACTTCATGTTAGGTATTCCTGAAGAAAGGAGGAAAACCCGATGTCAAAGCAGGAGATTACGAGTTCGTTTACAAACTGCCAGACTTCAGTACTTGTAAAGTTGGTAACGACAGCGTGTTTACATCACAATCACAGTCGGGCAACGCTGAAGCCGTTCATATTGACCCAAGCAAATGTGCAAAAGATCCTTACACAGTGTTCGTATCGAATTTTGATTTCAACGGTACTGGGGAATACTGTTTTGGTAAGTAAATGCAAGCACTAACATCTCTGAACACCTTCAGAAAGTTCATGATGGGTTTTCTCGTGTTATCCCCCTCTTCACAATCTAAATCATCGATTTTTTGTTTTACTCTAGCTGTACAACACACTGAACAATTCCAGAACGAAACTCACCCTGATCCAGAGTCGTCCTTTAGCTCTCGAAATCGGCGTTCAGTTTCCTGTGAAGTTGGAGCCAGACGTGTTCGTCGTTCGTGTGTCATTATCCCCCCTGCCCCACCGAAGCCAACTGACCCTCCTGGAAAGCTTAAGATCCTCGTGGCCGACAATCTAGGCTTTGATGGCAAGTTCTTTCATCCCAACCAAACTCCGAACTACAACCTGACCATGTTCGAATCAAGCTGTATATTCTGGGATGTTGTCAATGAGACATGGAAAGGTGAAGGCTGCAAGGTAAGCCTGAAAATTGTTATTCAAATTCCAGCAACCATTGAATATTACAAATAAAACGAATTGCTAAAGTTAACAGGTAAATTGGTAGTTTGATAGATGATTGAGTGATGTTTTTTTAAACAGGTTGCAATAGGAACGAACAGAGGACAAATCCTCTGTTCCTGTAATCACTTGACGTCGTTTGGAAGTGATCTTCTTGTTGCTCCAAACCCAATTGACTTCGATTCGGTCTTCAGTAATTTTGGCAGTCTTGCTGAAAATGTTGCTGTGCTGGCTTTGATATCGACCATTCTTGGTTTATACATCATTGGAGTGATCTGGGCAAGACGAGCGGATAAAAAAGACTTGCTAATGGTGAGTTTATTTTGGCTATTAATCTTGCATTCCCCTTCTTGTCATGTCATTTCTAGTTAACTTTAAATTTCCTTGCTCTACCTATTTCACATAATACCTGACACACCGACTAACTTTACACTATGTTACCACAATTGTCTTACCATACCTTACCTCACAGCTAAACTCACCTTATCCCAGTTATCTCACCTTGCCTCGACTTTTATCTCGCCCCACCTCACCCCAATGCTACCTTACCTGTTCATCTCCCCCTTGACTTACCTCCCACTTACCTTTTTTTCTTTTCCCAACATCTCATATCTTTCCTTACCTCCTCTTATCTTATCTTACCATTCTTCGCCTCATCCCAAAGCTACCTTACCTCTCCTCTCCCACCTTAACTCACCTCCCACTTCCCTTATTCTCTTTTCCCTACCTCTCATCTACCGCTTTCTCCTTGTATCTTATTATTCTCTACCTAACCTCATTTCATTTAACCTCATTACTGGACTTTGTCTTATATCTCTTTTCTCTCTCCTCCGTTCATTTGCATGTTGATTACCTAATAATACATGTCTTGCGTCAACCTTCTATATAAAACAGGTTGGTCCGACGATCCTTCGAAAACACCGTGGAAACTATCACTACCTCATCACTACCGCCACAGGTAGCAGACAGGGGGCTGGTACTACAGCAAGGGTTGTGTTTACGATGACAGGCGACGAAAACGAAACACTACCAGTTTGGTTACACGATCGAGAAAGGCCATGTTTCGAACGAGGTCAAACCAACTCTTTTGTAGTTTCGTATCCTCACGGTGTTGGCGATTTGAGCTATATTCAAATGTGGCACGATAACTCAGGTAAACAACACTAAAACACTTAGAGCTGGCGCGGAAAGTGCCCACTCGAAAATGATTCTGTACTCAGGTCAAATCAATTTACCGTACAAAGCTTTCCTGATAAGCTTAATCCTGAAGACTTGACCTGATAAGCTTAATCCTGAAGACTTAACCTGATAAGCTTAATCCTGAAGACTTAAAGTTATAGTTCATCTATTCACCAACGACAATCTCGATTTTGAATTAAGAAAAGACCTCAGGGTTATGAAATCTAACCTTTCACGCTATAGGTTCTTCGCCATCTTGGTATCTCAGTCGGTTGACCATCAAAGATCTTCAAACAGGTGTAACATGGAGAATGGTTTGTGAAAATTGGTTGGCTGTTGAATCAGAGGACGGGAAAGTTTGTCGAATACTGTCTGTGGCCAACGAAGAGGAATTGACAAGCTTCAATCATGTCTTCTCGAAAAAAGCTATCAAGGGTCTTGCAGACGGCCATATATGGTTCTCCATTGTATCCAGACCTCCCACAAGCAATTTCACGCGCGTCCAACGTCTCTCATGCGCTCTTTGCTTGCTGTGTTGCACGATGATTACAAGCGCCATGTTCTATAACATGGGAGGCCAGGGTCCAAGTCCTTTCGCTGTTCAAATTGGTTCGTTGGTTATCGACCTAAAGCCGTTTGTGATTGGTCTGCAGAGCAGCATCATCATTGTCCCAGTGAATGTTCTAATCGTGCAGATTTTTCGCAATCTCCGACCGAAAAAAGAAAAACCGAAGAAAACAGCCGTTTACGAGATAGAGAAACACGCCGAAGAGGAAGGCGCAATAAAAGGGAATGATACAGTCGAAGGAGTTCATATTGAAAACCAAACTCCACCAAAAGGCAAACTTCCATATTGTTTTATCTACATGGCCTACGCTATTTGTTACCTCGCGTCTGCCGCTTCGATTTTTTTCACATTGCTCTACAGCATTCAGTGGGGAAAGGAGACTTCAACAGAATGGGTGATTGCCATGGTTACATCATTTTTCCAATCAGTGTTGCTTCTTCAGCCAATCAAAGTCGTTGTTGCCGCTGTCGTGTTTGCGTTGTTTATCAAGAAAGCAGATGACAGCGAGGAGGAGACTGGTAACGAGGGACTGGTGATCAATAAATCTGACGTGGCGGAAGAAGAATTGGCTGCACGAAACTTGGCGGAGTTGGAACGGAAGATGGGAGCCATTGGCAAACCCGTAGGAAAAATAAAAAAATATTACAGGTAACTCAACGTGTAGTGGATTTTGTTTGACATATTAGAATGATTTTTCATATTTTAGATAGGGTAGAAAAGCACGAAAGATTTCGATATAATTGAGTTTACTATCGCTTGGATTCAGTTTATAAACATACATGTCAAGTACTTGGCGTAGCATGATACAAAATACAGCGGATTGTTGCTAACATTTTAACTAAGTACAATGGATTACATCGTCACATGGTGTGTGACGTAACACCGACTGATTAAACAGTGCGCAAAGTGATTTAAGGAAGTTCAAAACAGTTCACATTTATCATTTATCATATATTTATCATTCTATGTAGGTCAATATGTTTAAAACAAAACTAGTTAGAAAATTCTTGCAAAGTGGTTGAACTTTCTTCATCTCATTGCAGTCCTCCAAGTGCGGCCAAGCTGCGGAAAGCGAGAGAAAAACGCCTGAAAGAGATCAAGATGAACGCTGCTTTGAAAGAGATGTTTGCATTCTTTGTATTTCTCATATTGCTGATGGCCGTAGCCCAATACCACAGACATCCAGACACGTTTTTATTAACGAAAACTTTGTACGAGACTTTCGAAGAAGTTGATGCCTATGGACTTGACCTTGCTGCAGTAAGTATAAGCAAAATATGAGAAAAACATTCGGATCACTAACTACTAGCAATCATTTAAATATCTAGCAAAGTCTTCAACGGCCCAGGACCTCCGCAGTCTATGTGTGCATGCTATTATATAGAGTGAACATGTTACCTTTTGATATTGAATTTGGAAGTCAAATTTATCAAGTCTTTGGAGTCTTTTTTTTTCAAGTCTTGCTTCTTGTTTCCAAGGCCGTCAGCGCATATTTCGCCCGAATGATATTTACTCGTTTATTTTGCAGATCTCCGATACAGATTCTTTATGGATGTGGGCACGTGAAACGCTCATCCCAGGACTTTACGCGAATGAGTGGTACAATGGTAAGAAAATAGAGAAAGGATGGCTCGCGAATATTGAAGATTACCTCGTGGGTGTCCCGCGTGTAAGACTACTTCGCGTAAAAGAGAGTAAGTTTTAAGGTCTGCATAGACAAACCAAGAACAATAATGTATAAAGTAACGATAACCTTGGTTGAATTTCCAGAATTGTTGATCGATGGGAATTAACGGTTAGTCGGTTTGAATTTTAGATTCGTGTCCAGTTTCCAGCTACTTCAAAGACGTCATCCCCCATTGCTACAGTGGGTACTCTGTGGGGGATGAGGAAGATGAAACTTTTGAAGTAGGCTGGAAACCACTGCACGAGGGAAAGTCTCGAAGACGTCGAGCTATTGCAGAGCCCAAGACCGAGTCTGAATGGACGAAACGTTTGTTCAACGTGGACGAAGTCGAACACGATGGCGTGAAGATTCGGCGTAAAAGAGGACTGGATCCGATTATGGGTGGACTGAGCGGAAAAAAACGACGAAAGAAGAAGCGTTTGCTGGCCAGCGCTAAACCAAAGGAGTATGTCGTGAACGACAATGCATTGTTACCAGATGGTAAAGTGTTGTCGTGTCTTGAAAGATGGGAACATCAATCAATGATCGATCTTCGAGGATTTCCATACTGGGGTACAATCACTATGTACAGCGGTAGCGGCTATGCAGCAAACCTTGGTTATGACACTGTCACTGCTTACACTGTGGTTGCTGACTTGCATTCGAACGGCTGGATTGATGTCCAGACACGTGCTGTGTTTGTAGAGTTTACTGTATACAACGCGAATGCAAACCTATTTGGCATCGTTTCGTATTTTGTGGAATTTCCACAATCTTCAGCTGCCGTCACCAGGGCCCAATACCAAGTTGCGCGGTTCTATCTTCACCTCAGCGGCAGTCAAACTCTGGCTCATGTCCTGGTCATCTTCTTCATGATGTATTTTCTCTTCAGGGAAGGAAAACTTGTTTACAAACAACGCTGGTCTTACTTTAAAGGTTTCTGGAATTGGGTTGAAGTCATCCTGATTGTCAGCGAATTCCTATTGATCGTCTTATTCCTGGCACGTCTCTACGAAGTTGATCGAAATCTTCTTCAGCTACGAGAGAATCCAAATGATTACGTTGGTTTCCAATATGCTGCGAATGCAGACGCCATGATGACTTACATCCTTGGTGTCCTTGTGTTCTTCTACATCTTACGTTTCTTGCGATTGTTGAGGTTTAACAAAAACTTCCTTGTCATCGGGAAAACATTGGAGAGAATAAGCTCGCCGATTATGAGTTTTTGTTTACCCTTTATCGCTGGATTCTTCGCATTTGCCCTTCTCGCCTTCGCTATGTTCGGTTCTGAACTTGAAGAGTACAGCTCGTTTATAAGGACATTGTCGACTCAGTTGAGCATGCTTTTAGGAGATTTTGACTTCGAAGCCATCTTCATGGTCAACCCCACCGTAGCAACACTGTATTTCTTTTCATTTATTGGTTTGAACGTGATGGTGCTCATGAACATGTTCATTGCCATCATCAACGACTCCTTCGCTGAGATTCAAGAGGAAACTGCTGAGATTCAAAACGAACTGGAAATTATCGATTATGTGACGACAAGCATTTCAAAGGGTTTCGATAAGGCATTCAAGCGCGGTAAAGTCGCACCTGCGAAGAAGAAGAGACGAAAACAAAAACGAAAGTCGAAGAAACAAACTCCTGAGGAGAAGATCTACTCCAAGTTGGATGGACGTGTGAAGAAATTAGAGCTGTTCATGGATATTATAGATCGAAGTCTAGGAGAAGATGAAATCGAGGAAAAACGATTTTATTCTGTACCAAGAGACAAACAACAGGATTTATGTTTTCGCGTATTGTGTTTGATGGAAAGTGCACTTGATGTCGATGAAGAAGAACTCAACAAAGAAGATGAAGGGAACGAAGACGTGTCTGAAACACAGTCAGATGCCGATGACCGGAGTCAAATTGTATGAATTAAACTAGAGAGGGGTCAAAGCTGGACGACGTCAATTTATTCCTTATTTGGAATGAGTAGAAGCACTTTTTTCAAGGAAAAGAAATTTGATTTTTTTACCAAACTGTCGCACCACTTGGGACTGAAATTGTTCTTTTATGTATTTTTGAAATTTCACTTCCATAATTTTTTAATGCTTTAGAAAAGAATTACCAGCAGCAACTATTAGATCAGAAGTAGTAGGTGTCACGTGATGATATCATGTGATCGTTATTGGAAATAGATGTAGTTAGCGCCAACTGAAATAGATGCCAAGTCACGCTGGAATATGTCACTTTTGTTTGATCTAATATTTAGTGCATGTACCAATCATGCACTAAATGACAAGCATTATAGATGTGCTTAACGAATCAGCCAATTCATGGGAATAAAGTAACAGTTTTATTTAAATTTATTTCATGGAAACTTTATACTCCTTCTAGTTTTATATCACTACAATTAATTGTAATTTTCACAATTTTCAACCGGATGTTTGAACTAATAACACCAAACAAATAAAAATATAATTAATTTTGTTTTATTTATATGTATTTATAACCTTATATTTTGTTTAATTGTGTCTATTCGCCTTGACACAGTGCATGGTATTTACATGCTATAGCTATCTCTGTTTGCCTGGGTAAGTACGATTATCTATATTAAGACTATTGAAGAAATATCATGGTTATTTCATTAACAACATATTCGTTAGTGCATGGTTATAAATTAACATAGCACACTTGAATGATTTAACTTGTGGTCTCCTCTGTGTGGCAGTGCATGTATATCAGTAAAATTTCCAGCTCCCCGAAAAGGCGGAAAAATCGACAAAACCGAGCAAAACGACATACTGTACCAAGGTCATAAAATGTATTCGTACAGCAAACACGAAATAAACCTCGAAATAAACAAAATAGACTCCTACCATTTCAAGGATTATTATCGAGTTGTTCCTTTTCACCGCTAATTCCTCCAGTTCCGATAATATTTTAAACTCTTCCCAGTGTTTTATCTGTTATTTGATTCCACATTTCATATTTTGTTTTCGAAACATTTTTTTAAAAATTAGTTTGCAAAATGACAGTTAAATTGCTGACGTTTTTCACTGAAACACAAACGTTTCGTCACAGATTACCTATATACAGATATGAAACTTCTGTGTTTTTGCTGATTGTTTCGTGTCCCACGCGCAGCCAGCGCTTCCGGCGAGCTTGGCAAGTGTCATGAGGGAATTTAATGAGTAAAACGCCGTTTTTAACACGAAAATTTGCTTTTTTAAAAAACCCGCGCTACCTATGGCTAATTCTGGAATAAATTCTTAAAGAGTATCGGTATATGTATCCTTCGTTCATTGTTGAAAGGCAATTGAGCATATCTATAGCTCAAAATTGACTTTTGAAAATCAAAAAAGCTGGTCCAATTGATTTCGAAAGATATTTGCATTGGCACTATGGAATATATGTACTCTGGCTGAATTCTTTTCAATGAAGTCCCATATTTACACGTAAATATAATATATCTCAATTTCTCAAGTTGCTAACCGTCTTTTAAATCTGTTTTTTTATATAATATCAAAGCATAGAGTGTCTAATTATTGCTAATTTTAAACCCGAAACTCAAAACATAATATGGCCATGTCTTATTTTTTTGTCTTCAGAATTCCGCTAAAAAGACTCGTGTATGGTCATAATAATCATAATAATCAGCATAAGCAGCAATTTGTAAACTTTGTGTGAAAAATAGTCCAAGACAAGGGTGATGAAGTTGTTTTTTATAGCCAAACGCCTAAAATCGCTAAATACGCCGAATTGCTCGTCGTATTTACATGCCATGTTCGGCATGTTGTTGTTGTTCATTTCAAGTACACAAAGTCCTTTTTAAGCTCCTATCATTTCGTTTTCACATTTATTAATCCTAGATATTATTTAATTCATTTCATCTTATCTCCTGGAGATATATTGTATCTAAAGCATCTATTACATGTTTTCTAAACTCAAAAATAGCTCAGCCAGTGCTAAACTATTGCACAGCTTTCCATACGGCAAGCCCTGCACTCCTCAGCTATATTTTTTACTGTTTTTGCCAGCATCAAATAATTTCAGAAACCAGTTCTTAGCTCAGAAGATCCATTTCATCCATCTTTTTAAAAATTTTAAGTCAAATGGGACATGGCCCTAAAGGTTTTGTTTAAATTAGCATTTGTTTGTCAAAAATTCGATTTTTCTATCGATTTACTCACTAAATTTCGACATGACACTTGCCAAGCAAGTTAAGCATGCGCACATTAGGCAAAAAACGTGTGACTCGATTTGGCTTCAGTTTCATATCTGTATATAGGTAATCTGTGGTTTCGTCTTAGCCAATCAGGAAGTTGCTGATTACCAGTCTACACTCGTTCGCATTTCGCGCATGCGCACAAGTACCATGACCATTGAACGTCCATGACATTTGGGCAACTTGGGATTCCGCTATGTTCTCCCGGGTCCCGGGTGTAATTCCTAATCTCCGGGCGGAATTAGTACCCTCGCACGGTGCTCCGCACCGGCTCGGGGATTAGCGAGCTTTAGCAGTGACTACGAGTACGACTACGAGTACGAGATTCGTCATTCTCGTGCGTTGTTTGCTTACGCCATCAGTCAAAACTCGTAGTCGTTGGGCTTTTGAGTACGAAGTTTATCAAAAAACTCGTACTCAAATGCTCGGCGACTACGAGTTTTGACTGATGGCGTAAGCAAACAACGCACGAGAATGACGAATCTCGTACTCGTAGTCGTACTCGTAGTCACTGCTAAAGCTCCCTATTATGGTTGCCAACCACAGTTGGTAAATATGCAAATATTTGAGGCCAATTTGTCATTCGTCCTACCAAGAAAACAAAGAAAAGAAAGAAAAGGTCAGGGCAAAGAAAACAAAGAAGTAGTGTGATGTTGTTTGGCCTTAAATTTGCAGCTATCTACCGACCCTCGACAATTACACCAGGAAGTGAATCAAGGACTAATTAGTACGCCGGAGCTAAATTTCATCAGTTCTCAAGCAAGAAGACCACGCAGTATGTTATTATATTGTGTTTCGTATCTAGACTATTGCATGACATTAAAGGAATATTTGTACCATATAAACCTAAATTGTTTGGCCACAAAGTCTCTCTTAGTCTTGAGATATTTAATATGCATCAGGCATGTAATTCTGTTTCTTCGGTTTCGATCTGCAAAATCTGAAGAAAATTAAACCTAAAGATATTTAGTAATTTACTAATTACTATTACAGTATTTTCTTCATGGAGGTTCGAACGGTGCATGAAACAGACGTCTATAATTCGGAGAAGTGCTAGTGTTGGCATTTTTGTATATTCGTCTTGTGCAGCTGTGCCTGGCTGTTTTTCCTAAACGTTTATTTTAAATTATGAATATTGTTGAATGATCAGAAAACGATGGAAATCTCTATTGCAAGAGGCTTCTGATATGCTGACTTATTTAAAATTATCAATCGCGTCATTCTTTTGTCGTGCAAATTCAGTATTTGACTGCTTGTAACGGCGATGTTTTTGGCAAAAAAAGAACTCGTCTTATAGACCCAGACATTCCAACGATTCCCAAAATTCGCGAGATCTCCTTGTCTTCCCCATCTTAATCAATTTCTCCGGATTTTCAAAAATATTTATAGAAAATATGAAGTTTAGCAATCAACTTGTCATGCAAAGTAGATTTTTTCCTGCATGTCTAGACACCTGGCACTTAATGCCTGATCATTCTTATTTATAGCTAGGACAGTTTCCTGTTTCCAAATTCATGCCGGTTTCGATTTTGATTTAAATCTAAATAATATAACACGCAATATAACAAACTTGTTCACAAGTAGTTGCACTGAAGAAGGCCCGGGTTAACGGACCGAAAGCTTTGCCGTATTAAATTCTTAGACGTGGTGTGCCTAGATATATATCTTCGGTGATATTACCTCCTGGTACCGCTCTGGTAGAATGTTGATTAGGCAATAGGGAGCATAAGATAACAGTCATGATTAGTTTAGTCCGCTGTATTGCTGGACAAAATTCAAAAGCCTATGATTTGTGATATCTTGTGGACAAGGGAAAGTTATATAAATCATCAACATATTTATGCTATCATGAGTATAAAAAATGCGAATTCTGACTATAATTTAGGTTATGTATTTATTTGAGAAATTTGTATATATTGTTATTGATAAAAATCCTTATTTGACACCGCAAATCCTCGATAATGTATATCTGTGAGGGGCCGATAATATATCATTCTGTGAACGGTGATATCCTTCGTGAATATTATATTAACACCCCCAAATTGTGAAATTTGTTTTAGGAAATGATAAATTTTGTAATGAAAAACCAGAAATATTGAATCGTTAGTTTAAGGCCCCGTTTACACTTTCTAGCTATTAAAAAGCAGTAAAAAATTTACTTTCAGAGATCGAAACGAATATACCAAAACTACCAAAATAATAAGTATTTTCTAAAATTATTTTCTAACCATTGCTTTTTAAAGGCAAACGAAGATATCGTAACAAGCGAATCCGGTATAGCGTAAACGGGGTCTGAATCAGTGTCTACGGAGAAATTATTTGCATTTTAAATCTACCATAATATGAATTAATTGGCATTGTGTTTGATCAATCTAGTTGAACTGTTTACTTTTGTAACTTCAAAACCGAATCTGAAGATATAATGTAGTACTGATTCCTGGTTCACCGCCTTCATATGTGAACCAGGCTTGACTTTCAGGAACCGATCGCATGCTACGTAGTCAACATAGTTGGGGTTTTTTTTAGCAATACTGCATGACCAAGAGCTGGGATTTTGAAGAGTTCATAACAACATCGAGACTTATTATCGGCAGTATCCGGATTCCGCCGGACTTTGATAACAAATCGTTTAAACTTTAGTGCAATATTTCATTTTTGTGCAGGTTTATTTCCTTAAGTTCATGGCTGGTTTTGGTTTATTTACGA